TGAGACGGAGATTGAAGCTGAGTTACAACTACTAGCCAATCATAAAAGAGAAAGGGAATCGTACCATAGAACATCGTAGAATATTAAAGAAGCATCACGTGACCATATCTTATCTTTATCGTATCTAATCTAATCTAATCACAATCAAAGAACTCGTCTTCTTCATCAGTCACATCGAAGACACGTGTCGTAGGCGCTAAAGGTATTTCGGGAATGATAGACGCTTTCAAGGTAGGGTTAGGGTTTGTCTTAGGCGCTGTGTATTGACGTTTAGGAAGATTCAGGAAAGAATAATGGTTCGTTAAAGGTACTCGTGACAGTCAGCCGAGGGTACTTGTATCACATACACGGGTGGGCCCAGGGATATATTATATCAGATGGGTGGGCTGAGGGTGGTATATAATATAGACAGGTGGGCACAGGTGAATGATAATTGTAAAACAATGCAGTACTGATTGCTGAGTAGCTAATTCAGGTGAAGCGTAATGAGTTCCTGCAGCTGCATGTTCATTACTGTTGCATTGCTGTATGAGAAGCAAGGTTCCGACTACCGAAATTTGAGTGAAGCGTACCGAGTTCTGAGACCCGGGTGTCAATAAACAAATATCTGATATCCAGCACACTTCCAATGATTGGGTATTTCATTGAGCAACAGGTGGTAATATATCTTCGACAGCCAACATCATGGAAGGTTCTCTTATCAGAACCTCATGTTCACCACCTACCGAACACCAAATGCCAAGTTCCGACTACTAAAATTTGAGTGAAGTGTGCCAAGATCCGAGCCCCGGGAGTCAACAAACAAATATCTGATATCCAGCACACTTCCAATGATCTGGTATTTTGGCTCCCTTATCTGATCCTGACTATCTCCACCCCCTTTAACACCAACCTCTGGGCGTCCAGCATTCAGCTTCTGATTTCCCAAGATTGACTTCATCATTAATGGTTCTTCCACTTCTGCAATTCAAATAAGCCTCTGGCACACTTGGGCCCTGACAGTCACTCACGAGGCATCTGAATATACTGCACAGAAATTCAATGCAGAGAAGACAGGAGGAGACCCAGTGATACCTTCTCCTAACCTAGACACTGATCTAGTGATGGCCTGCGATCGATTGGTAGATTGCCTCATAAAGGCATATAAAAATCTGAGTGGGTCTTCCTGCAGATTCAGAAAATTCATTTGATCATTCAAATTCCTTCATCACAGTTCAGATGAACATCGACATTGGAAGATATAGCAAATTGATCTCCCCAAAGAACACCGGGCACAATGAGGAGAAAGAGGAGAAGTTGCTTAAGAGATGTCCTCCCTGGCCATGAGGGGACAAGGTTTGTGGACATACCCGCCACCATTCTAGATGTGTCCGGCACCATCATCACACGGTACCTCCTAGACACCCTGACAGCCGAAACACAGGTGTGTGATATAGATTGTTACTCAATATATATTAAATACCCAATGGTAACCACAGAAGGAAATTTGGGCAGCCACCGAAGTTGCTGTCTCCGAGTCTGGAAAGAAGTATGAAGGTTGATGGGAATTGGCGAACCAATCCGGAGTGGTTCAAATGCCACTTGGAAGATGTTGGCCTAGCTGCCAGGTGCATTAATTTATCTCTGGCATGGTTTCAACAGGGGCACAAGGTAGGATTTGATAGGATGATGATTTCGGTAGTTGAGCACACCAATCCCATAGAATCTAGCGGACCCGGAGGTATCTGCATCATTAAAGGGACCATTGTCCGAGGGAATCCTAAATGCCATTGCAAGGCCGGCAGCCATCGCATCAGTGGCACTCAGGATCATGCATCCGGAGCAGTACTGGGCAGGGTTACAAACATTTTCAAGCCTTGGAGAACAGGCAGAAAGCAAGGAACTGCCAAGAATGTCCGAGATCCTGGAGTACTGGGCATCCGTGTTTAACACCCTATCCATCATTTCCAATCGTCAAACCCCATATCATCGAGACCATTTATCAATTCCTGAATGCTTCGATATTCTCACCACTGTGGGGAATTATTCTAATGCTCGGATGAGCATGCCAAGCCGAGTTTGGGTATGATCCCAGGTGTATGATTGGATTTTCAGACATGGGGTTCATGAGGTGGAGGGGGATAGGGTTGGGTGGGCATGGTATATGAGGGACTCTGTTCATATTTATGCCGGGGTTCCCTCATGCAGATGGGCTAGGGTGGATTGACGAACCCTACCACCATGTGGAAGATGAAACAAGTAGAAAGTGTAATTACCAGCATCAGTACCTGCTTTTGACTACCAAGTACAAACCATCTCTCTTGATGACACTCGAGGTCCGAAATCCATAGCGGATGCATACAATAACTGTCCAGAGCCTTCCGTGTCTCTTGATGACACTCGAGCACCAACACATTCAGTGCGAGGGAGTGGGGTTTCAGTTGTGGTGCGCAGTTAGAAAAGGCCGGCCCTGGGTTGGAGTAGCGCAGATGATATCATTGACCTTACATTAGGCAATGCTAAGAAGAACGGTCTGTTGCAAAAGGAACCTACAAGTCAAAAGGGCACAGAGAAGCAAAGAAATGTAAGTATGAATGCTGCTGTACAAATTTGAAAATGGTACTGGGGCGATGGCTATCATTGTATTTAGACTCAGATACTATTGACAGTCATCAAGGCCAGGAGCTCAGTAACCAGGTCTCGGCACTTGGGTCTTGATATTTGGACCTCGGTAGTTAAATGCCGGGAGTTGGGAATCGGTAATGGAGATCCGGAACTCGAAGTTCAATATTCAGCAGTCAACATTTGGCACTCGACGCTCGGACCTTGGAACTCAATATTCGGAGCTCAGTAATCGGGTCTCGGCACTCAGGTGTTGATACTTGGACCTTGGTAGTTATGTTCCGGGAGTCGGGAATCGGTAATGGAGAATCCGGAACTCGGAGTTCGATATTCAGCAGTAAACATTCGGTACTCGACACTTGGTACCCGACATTTCGGAACTCGGTCATCGGGACTCGATATCCGGAACTCAGAGTTCAATATCTGGAACTCGACACTCGATATTTGGTGTTCGGTAATTGGGTCTCGGCACTCGGGTGTCGATACTCGGACCTGGGTAGTTACGTTCCGGGAGTCAGGAATGTGTTATGGAGATCCGGAACTCAGAGTTTGATATTCAGCAGTAAACATTTGGTACTCGACACTTGGTACCCGACGTTTCGGAACTCGGTAATCGGGACTCAATATCCAGAACTCGGTAATCGATATTCAGAACTCAACACTCGATATTCGGACCTCGGTAGTTAGATTCTGGGAGTCAGGAATTGGAAATGGAGATCTGGAACTCGGAGTTCGATATTCGGCAGTCAGCATTCGGTACTCAATGCTCGGTACTCAACGTTCAGAACTCGAAACTCAATATTCAGAGTTCGGTAATGGGGTCCCGGTAATCGGGACTCAACATCTGGACCTCGGTGGTCAGGACATGGTGATGCACATCTGCACCGTTTATTTCAGGACTCGCCATATAACATCATGTTAGATATTGCAATGTTTACAAGCGATTTTCAGTACTCATAAAACACATATGCAACTTGCACTTCAACATTTCCAACTGAGTGACTAGAGCTACTCTCCTCTGCCTCTCTTCAATCTGTCCAGCATGGCAGTATAGATTTGTATCTCTGCCATCTTGTCATGGATGCCCTCACATTGCTCTTCAAGTAATGTCAGGAGGCGTTCTCTAATCCACCTCAGTCCCATCAGTGATGGAACTGAGGTATGATCCACCTGCTCCAGAATTGTCAGACCATCATTCTCAACGCCATCCTAGAGCAGATCAGTCATGAATCAAGGAAATGGAATAAGAATCTTACTAGCCAATGCTGGTAGTGAAAGATACAGCAAGTCATCACCCGATCCCATTGCCATGGTTCATTTGGGATTGCAGTTTCTCCCATCCACCATGGGGTATCATAGCTGGATACGATCAGGGATGGATCTCCGGGATCTGCAACATCATGAAACACACAGATGTGATACGAGAAGATGTGATCTGGAACTGTGTTCCAGGTGTGACCAGGAATCAAATGAAGAATATGAGCAATAGGGCTGGGAATGACCAAAATGATGTTCCTGGCAGCTGAGTACTGGAGGATGGGCATGACAAAAGTCTGTGGAAGATGTCAGTATTAACCACCAGTGTCGTCAGGGTCTTACAGTGATCTCCCATTGCAGCCCGGCTTTGAAGTGCCTGATCCAAGCCAAAGGGGGAAGATTGTTGTTTGCAGCCTCCACCTGATATTGGGAGATGGATGCGCGATGCAGACATCGACATAGTAGCTGAAATGTCTGCAGGAGTGAGAGTGAGGGGCCGGTACTCATTGAGTGAATTCTGATTGTCAGAATTGGATGCAGGGGAACGGTATAATTCAGGCATGGCTGATGCAGGAGTATCACACTGGCAATGACAATGACAGTTGGTTCAGATGTGAAGATATCATCCACTGATGGATGGATAAATTTTTCAAACTCCGACATGGGCTGACCCGGCCAATTCCCGGGACTAAATTTGTATATCGAAATGGTTGTTATATCCCATCGGCAATAAACAATTCATTCATCTCGGGAATATATCAAAACGGTCTGCAGGTGTTGAAACGCTGCCTGGGCGTCCTGCACCAGCAATGAATACATTTGGGATTGCCTTCCGGAGTAGCATGCATGACCCGGAAGTCATTTTGTGAATGATTCCTGCATCCGGTCACCCCATTGGGCTGCTTTCCACAAGAAAAAGTTACATGTCCAATCCATCTCAAATTGGACCAACATCAGCTCTTCCTTCCATCAATCCCGTAGTGCCTTTGCCTGGAGCCAGTGAACTTGGTAAACTTCATATTCGTTCGGTCAGCTCAACATCGGACGTGTCGAGCATTAGGGAACTCACATTCCTCATTCCATGATTGATCCAGACCATGCATGTCGACCTCGACGGACCAGAACCATGCAAGGGATTCATTTCATTGACCACAGGCATTCGGATCACCCACGGCAGTGCTGACTTTGAGCTGCTCGCGAAGCAGGGGTTTGTACTTCTGAAGTTGGCCATGCCCCTTGTCAAGTTTCATAATTTGCATCCTGGTCTTGGTATATATACTCGCACATAGGGAGACAGCCTGTTGCACTGACGTCACCTGTGACCAGGCTCGTGTTTTCAGGGCTTGAGATTTGGCTTGCCTGACCATCGTTTGGAATAGGACCGCCTTGTTGCACAAGTGAATGCGGAGGTTGTGAAGTGCATCATTTGCCTGCCCTTCGCGAAGGGACATCTCCAGCGGAATGAGATCCTCTGCCATCAAGCGTCTGCATCAATCAACCCCGAGGTTTGATGGCAATGGGATCACAATGAGCTCGGGCAAGTTCTTCCATGTATCAGATGTCTCGGTAAAATCTTCCAGGTCATCATTGATTCTTCCATGTATCAGGGCTTGAGATTTGGCTTGCCTGACCATCACAGAGGTCCCATTGCAAAACCATGAAACTTATCAGTGACTGTGTTGTGTTTTGAGCCTCTGGTTTCGGGCATCGGCACTCTGTGAATCAATAAGTCAATGATAACAAAGGTAACATTGATTGAAAACATTGCATATACATTTATGACTATCTAATTATGTAGTCATGTCAACATCCTCACCAGAAGGTTCACCCTTCACTTGAACATCCATCTCTTCAACTGAATCATACTCTGGGAAAAGATTGCCCAGATCCTCCGGTTTCACAATTTCGCCGGGCGTCTGTGAAACCTCAGGATAAATTTGGTTGAGCTCAAATATGAGTCCGTCGATGGCAGACTCATCCTGGATGTTGGGGGGGTTGGGCTCCATCCCTTCCATAGACAGGTCAATGAGAGGAGGAAGTGCGGATGCGGGGGTTGACATGGCCGGAGGGACTGGTTGATGAAGCAACAATGATGTTGCATCACCTTGGGTGTCTGGAAGTGGAAATGTTGGGTGCCGGAGGATGATTTCGCGTCAAAGGCCTTCATGAAGGCATTGCAGGGTGTCAATCTTAGCATCCTGCTCAACAACATGCTCCTCGAGAGCGGCAATTCGAGCTGCACCCTCCTGAATCGCCATTGCCATGGCATGCAAATCCGGCATTGGCACATCGAGTGCTGAACGAGGAACTCCGGAAGTCGAAGACGGGACTGCTACAGGTGGAACATTATGTCAGATGGACATAGAAAATTCAGGTGACTTACGAGCTGGTGCAGGTGTAGAATCCATTGGAAGCAGTGACAGTCTTGCTGCGACCGCAGTGTTTGCACCTTTGGTGTTTGGGCACCAGATGGACCAGGAGTGACAGAAGAGACCCGAGATTGACTCCATGTCTGGCCGGAGCTTTGGAGGGAGCTTTGGAAGGGGTCCTGGATCTGGTCCTCCTGGTGGTCTGGGTGATGGATTGACCTCGAATGTGTTTCGGCGGGGTTCCCATACTCACCAAGATGCACTTGATCTTCTTGGTGGTGCAGTAGACGCAGGACATGCATGGGGCGCCGGTCCTCTTGTCAAACCTGCAGGGCCATTCCATCTTGTGGCAAGCCTGGCAAGGGTTGTTCTGTGCGAGATGTCAGTTCATAGACACACCAAGTCTCAATGGTGTACTTACGGGTCCAGGAATGAGTATATCACCTGTGTCAATGACTGGGGGTGTCTCTACCGGAGGTTCAGGAGCTGCCTGAGGGGGCTCAATGACCTCTGGACATTTGCCGGCAATTGCCTAGCACATTGTAAGGACTCACCCGAGTGCCAGATGCAAAAGTGCGACTTACCGTAGCACGCCAGAAGGGTTTCTTCTTTGGGCTCCAGGGTGACCAAGGTGATCCGGACGTCCTTGCAACATCTGGGGAGAGCTGGGGGAGGACGACCTCCGGAACCCCACGCGAAATTGGCTACAAAATGAGTAAGACAATGAAATGATGAACCAGAGGACATACCTGAGTGACCAAGTCCTCCTCATCTTCCAACTCAACAAACACCTTGAATTTGGCAAGGCCGGTGGTCTTTGCCTGCTTCCAAGTCTTCATAGCGGACTTTGGGGGTTGGGAGGGAAGTGCCGGAATCATTGGAGACTTCCTCTTCCAACTCCCTTCCACTTCTGGTTCCAGGTCTGGGACAACTGCCTTACCTTTTCCCTTCTCCCAGGACTTGGAGGCAGGGTTGGTAGAAGGCCTGGCAATGACAGGCGAGGGTGGAAGATCCACAGGAATTGGACCTACTGAAGGACCGGACACAACCAGGAGATCAAAGGTGTGATCACCTAACTCCTCCCAGGCAAGAACCTTACTGTGCCAGGGGTGCATCAACAAATGGGTATTGTCGTACCCGATGCTGTGCCCGTTGGGTCAGACCTGAGGAGTCATGCCCCGAACACAAATTAACTCCCTCGAGCACGAACACACGAGACCCGGAAGGTAGGGACCACTCCCATATTGCTGGACCGCATCGGCCTACCCGGATGATGAAAGAAATGAAGTGGAGAAAATATGACAATGCTACATACCACGAGTGTACTGACCTGGGTTGTCAGAGAAAAGTGGCTGTGGCCCGGAGGAAGCTGCCAAGCGCCGGTGATGATGGCCATGATCTTGGCAGTGATTTCCTTGAGGCTGGTCAAAGAGGTGTCAAGTGGAGCAGACATGGTATTTCAATTGAAAGTGTTGAAAGTGTTGAGATCAGGTAGAAATCAAGTTGTATTCAGGTTGAAATCAGTTATCACAAGGATGATGTTTCAGTAAAAACAAGATCAGTGATTAACAATGTAAAATTCCATTGATTGTTTGTCCTTGTTTGGTTGTGGTTCAACTTTCGGCAATTGCTGGCGCCTTGTGTTCAACTTCGAAGTTATCAATAATCAGTGAATCAGTTGACAGTTCATCACAGAACATGAACTCCCCTGCTACAGTTAGATTCAATGACCCTCCAGTCACTGAATATAACTCAATGGATGTGGATGAATCAACCATGTCCCAGATGTCAACAGGTATGTTCAACATCCATCATACCTTATTAATTTACCGGACATCCTCAGATCAATTAAATCTTGGGCCAGCTGATGACCCAGAATCATGTTCTGTGTCATCCAATGGTCCGGAGGTCTTTTCTTTAATTTACGGTGAGTTTATCAATTGATATGATGACCATCTAATCATCCATGGTCACTCAAATCTCACAGATCATTCACCTCCAGCTCAATGTGATCAACCAGGCCTCCCGGTTCACCCGGACCTATACCTCGGGCCTGAGGATGACCTGATGGCTGGGATGCACGGTGAGTATTATTTAAATCATCTAACAATGCATGTTAACACAAAAATCTTGCAGATCAGTCACATCCGGCCCAACCTGATATGCTGGGTCTAGCCATCCACCCGGATCTCTACCTTGGGCCTGATGAAGATATTATGACTGAGATCCCAGGTATGTCCATCCATTGAAATGAAAAGTCCGGCCATCCCTGGTTACTAAAGCCTGACAGATCCATCACCTCCGGCCCAACCTTATCACCCAGATGTACCCATCCACCCAGACCTGTACCTCGGGCCTGATGAAGATTTTATGCCAGAATTCCCCGGTCTGTCAATCAAAACATCTCACCATCCCTGTTTACTAAACCCTTACAGATAAATCTCTTCCGGACCAACCTGATCAACTGGTTTCCCCCATTCACCCAGACATGTACTTAGGCCCTGAAGATGATCTGATTCATCTCCCAAGCGATTGCAAAATATCCCGAACGTGATTTGCCACACCCGGATGTCACTTATGAAGAATTGCTTGCCATGGTCCAGGATCTCCGGCCATTTGAGTCTTACAATCACATAGGCAGTGAGGTATCTGATATAATCATTTATCTTCTGCTAATTTGTCTCTTAGTTCAATCCATTCAAGATCGGGTCCGGGATTACAAACAGCGACACGGACATATTCCCGACCCATCCATCCAACAACTACTCGAGGCTGAGAGACCATTCCGAACTGCCTGGGCAGAAACATCTGACAAACTCAGAAGAGCTGATGAAGACCTCTGGAGGCTGCAAAGAGCTGAATGTTTGACTTCTAAAATGCTCAAGGTATTAGATTCCCTCATTCTTAGGTTTGAAGATCAAATTCAAATGTAAATTACACAATTTCTGTTAGTAGACAAATTACCTGTGAACTTCCAAATTTTTATGAACCCACTCACATCATGTAAACTACTTAATTATGGATGTATTGAACTCCCATTTCCGATGTATTCACTATCCGAGGACTACCGAGGCCTGAGTATTGATTACTGGGTCCATGTTTTGAGTCCAGCACACCAATAACCTACTTCCTATTGCATGACATGGATATGTACATAAGGGGAGACAGTGTGGGATAAGTCCATCACTTCCTTCCCCTCACTCCAGTCACCTGAGGAGTACTGTCTAATGGCTTTGGCATCGACTTACTCCGGGTGGTCCTCGCCAATAGCTCAATCACCTGCTCTCTTTCCCCACATCCTTTTTGGAGCCGGCGATGTTTTCCTCCCTTCCATTGCAACATCATCGTCAACCTCACCAATGTTGCCATTGGTTAACCCTGCCAGGAGGTCTCCCATTCGCGATGTCAGCAGTGCACCACGTTTTGCCGGCTTGACTGGGCGAGGCTTTGGAATTGACGGTGGGATTGCCATCTCTGCATGTGATGATGAAGGACCTTCTCCGGTTCTGGTTCTCTTTTCGGTGATCTACCATCAGCCTGAGTCATTATCATCATCATCATCATCATCATCATCATCCGTATGATGAGTGTCATTCCCTGAAATCACTGTCGGGTTCGGAAGGATGAATCCCTAGGGCTTCGGATGATTACCCTTTGCGTGTTTTTGACTTTACCCGTCCGATGGGAAGGCAACCCACCTGATACGACCGATGCTACCATGTCGCCATCTTTGTTCTTCCATGCTTTGAACGTGAATGTTGATCCTTCGCCTTTCTCCTGCCGAGCATACCAGAAATTGAGGAGGGCAGTTCGTGTCCCAATTTTGCAACTTGGAAGGCTCCTTCAAGTCGACATCCGCCGGAAGATATCTTCATGACACAAAGTCATCCTGGCATTGAAGGATGGTGCTCCATGGCACTACTGCCTTGTCGATCCCCGAACAAATCCCTATGTCGATGCATTCAACAATGTCCCAGATGTAGCAAGGATTGACTCACGATAGTGCGATGTGAGAAAAGCCCTGACTATGGCCTTCTTCTCCTTGAGTTTTGTTTCAGTGATGTCCGGAAGCAACGGCATCCCATCCTCGTCAGTGTCGAGCTCGAAGGCTGGTTTTCGGATTCTCTTGCGACCTCCCTTCATCTGTCGGCCACCTTCCCGTGCTCCGGCACCTATCACAGAGACCATCAACACACCCCTCCGGGTATCAACAGTTTAAACACTCACCGAACTGTTCCTGCGCATACTCCTGCCACACCGGCTCGATGTCCTCCCAGTCCTTTGTCTTCATGAAGCTGTCCCCATCTCCTAATGCCTCGCTATTATCATGCCTGCGTGAAATATATTGGGTTGAAAGATCTGCGATGACAGGTAAAATTCACTCACATCCCGAACAGCACCTCGCCCTGTTCATTCTTCCAAGCTGACAACACAAACACTCTCATCCCGCACTGCCTCCACATCTCCTTCGAAAGTGCTCCATATATGCAGGTCCCTTCTTACGGGTGACCTGTGCTTGTATCTCGAGGAGGACAGTTGTTGGACCATTCTTTGGCAGTTTCTTTTGCCTTCTCCAACTCGTCGTCAGACAATTCAGCCATGACTCTCTTCACAGCCGCCTAATAATGCTTGAACATACCAGGATCTCCTGGCTTTGCCCCAGACTCATCCTCAATCCTCTTCAGCACCTCTTCCCGATTCTCCTGGTAGATCACCATCCTAGGTGTCCATTTCCTCCCATACTTTATCATGTCCTTCCTTTCCTTCTTTTTCTTGTTGTTGAACAACCAAGTCTTGTACATCTGAGCATTGAAGGAAGTGTACGACATTGAAATTTTGTTTCTCATCGCAACAAGGATGTATCACCTGCTTCCTCTTTTTCCATTGTCCTTGGTCCACCTTTGGCACAAACAACCTGGCAGCCCTGGCAATTGCAGTGAAAACTGCCCGCTTCTCGCTCCTTTTCGCAGAAGTCCACTCAGGAAGGTAGTTCTTCAGCTCGGAAATTTCGGTTTCCTGTGAGCTTCTGTGTCTGGGGTTGACGTGCCCTATGTCTTCCAGGAGACAAGCGAGTGGAATGACCTGATCTTGCCATGGTGACTCTGATTGGTGAATGTGCTGAGGGTAAGCAAGGTGTAACTAATATTGGTTCAAAGTTCAACTTTGACCAAAGCCTAACAGTTGGTTAATCAACCCATATCGGACATGATGCCATTAATGGAAATAAATTTGTAATGAACAACCAATACTGCACAAACATAGCATTGGAATAACAATTTGTGTGACCTTCCTGAGCTAATGCTGTTCTTGCAACATTTGAAAATAAGATGAAGATAGGTCTATGCACCCCACTGCAAAAATCCCACAGGGTAGAAGCAAGGGGCAGAAAAGGTAGGAAAACTTGGGTCAAGGTCCCGCTTGCAAGCGCAAAACGACATGCCTACAGGTCCATGCCTAACTCTCCCCCGGAATCACCAACACTTCAGCCTGTTCCTGCACCACCTACTTGGGAAGACTGTCCTGATAATACTTATGAGCAAGACCAAGGCTCATTCGAGCCTTTGCAGCTTCCAAAAACAATGGCAAGTGAATGTAAACCTTTGGAGTGTTGTTCAAACATTGCTAAGTATAACACATGCAGAGCCAGAATGACTACCTGAGGCAATGGCTCCCAAGGCAGGAATCATATCTGCATCACCTCCTGGATCAAGAAGCTCCTCCAGAAGATAGGAGATGCATCGTCTGCGATCAGGATGGGGTCTACAAATGTCAAGATTGTCTTGGGGAGCCACTCTATTGCACACAATTTGAAGACAGAATGGTTGGCCAACGAGATGATCGCTCAATCCAGCAGAATAAATGATCCTGCGGTGATGGATGTTTACGAGATAAATATCAAGAAGGGTAAGCTGACCATGTCTCCATAGAAGTCCAAATTAATTTCGCACTCAGCACCAAGCAAAAAGGAGATCAAACTTAGACTGCTAGAGCAGGGTAATGCCCGTAATGCAGCACCATCTCGGAGATCTGTGGCGACATGGATATCTATGGGGTTGGCAATCGAGGAGGCTCAAATTGCATTGCTTGTCGAGGTCCGAAGGATCGGAAAACAAACTACGGAGACACAGAGATTAGACCTCGCCCAGCAACGAGATCGTCTACAAGGCCAGATAGATGGATTCATGTGTTCTGCTGTCACGCATCTTGGAGAGGGATTTGATGGAGATGACGATCATGACAACTTGAACGTAGACATCATAGATGATCTCAATGATGACCTGGAAGATTTTACCGAGACATCTGATACATGGAAGAACTTGCCCGAGCTCATTGTGATCCCATTGCCATCAAACCTCGGGGTTGATTGATGCAGACGCTTGATGGCAGAGGATCTCATTCCGCTGGAGATGTCCCTTCGCGAAGGGCAGGCAAATGATGCACTTCACAACCTCCGCATTCACTTGTGCAACAAGGCGGTCCTATTCTGAACGACGGTCAGGCAAGCCAAATCTCAAGCCCTGAAAACACGAGCCTGGTCACAGGTGACGTCAGTGCAACAGGCTGTCTTCCTATGTGCGAGTATATATACCAAGACCAGGATGCAAATTATGAAACTTGACAAGGGGCATGGCCAACTTCAGAAGTACAAACCCCTGCTTCGCGAGCAGCTCAAAGTCAGCACTGCCGTGGGTGATCCGAATGCCTGTGGTCAATGAAATGAATCCCTTGCATGGTTCTGGTCCGTCGAGGTCGACATGCATGGTCTGGATCAATCATGGAATGAGGAATGTGAGTTCCCTAATGCTCGACACGTCCGATGTTGAGCTGACCGAACGAATATGAAGTTTACCAAGTTCACTGGCTCCAGGCAAAGGCACTACGGGATTGATGGAAGGAAGAGCTGATGTTGGTCCAATTTGAGATGGATTGGACATGTAACTTTTTCTTGTGGAAAGCAGCCCAATGGGGTGACCGGATGCAGGAATCATTCACAAAATGACTTCCGGGTCATGCATGCTACTCCGGAAGGCAATCCCAAATGTATTCATTGCTGGTGCAGGACGCCCAGGCAGCGTTTCAACACCTGCAGACCGTTTTGATATATTCCCGAGATGAATGAATTGTTTATTGCCGATGGGATATAACAACCATTTCGATATACAAATTTAGTCCCGGGAATTGGCCGGGTCAGCCCATGTCGGAGTTTGAAAAATTTATCCATCCATCAGTGGATGATATCTTCACATCTGAACCAACTGTCATTGTCATTGCCAGTGTGATACTCCTGCATCAGCCATGCCTGAATTATACCGTTCCCCTGCATCCAATTCTGACAATCAGAATTCACTCAATGAGTACCGGCCCCTCACTCTCACTCCTGCAGACATTTCAGCTACTATGTCGATGTCTGCATCGCGCATCCATCTCCCAATATCAGGTGGAGGCTGCAAACAACAATCTTCCCCCTTTGGCTTGGATCAGGCACTTCAAAGCCGGGCTGCAATGGGAGATCACTGTAAGACCCTGACGACACTGGTGGTTAATACTGACATCTTCCACAGACTTTTGTCATGCCCATCCTCCAGTACTCAGCTGCCAGGAACATCATTTTGGTCATTCCCAGCCCTATTGCTCATATTCTTCATTTGATTCCTGGTCACACCTGGAACACAGTTCCAGATCACATCTTCTCGTATCACATCTGTGTGTTTCATGATGTTGCAGATCCCGGAGATCCATCCCTGATCGTATCCAGCTATGATACCCCATGGTGGATGGGAGAAACTGCAATCCCAAATGAACCATGGCAATGGGATCGGGTGATGACTTGCTGTATCTTTCACTACCAGCATTGGCTAGTAAGATTCTTATTCCATTTCCTTGATTCATGACTGATCTGCTCTAGGATGGCGTTGAGAATGATGGTCTGACAATTCTGGAGCAGGTGGATCATACCTCAGTTCCATCACTGATGGGACTGAGGTGGATTAGAGAACGCCTCCTGACATTACTTGAAGAGCAATGTGAGGGCATCCATGACAAGATGGCAGAGATACAAATCTATACTGCCATGCTGGACAGATTGAAGAGAGGCAGAGGAGAGTAGCTCTAGTCACTCAGTTGGAAATGTTGAAGTGCAAGTTGCATATGTGTTTTATGAGTACTGAAAATCGCTTGTAAACATTGCAATATCTAACATGATGTTATATGGCGAGTCCTGAAATAAACGGTGCAGATGTGCATCACCATGTCCTGACCACCGAGGTCCAGATGTTGAGTCCCGATTACCGGGACCCCATTACCGAACTCTGAATATTGAGTTTCGAGTTCTGAACGTTGAGTACCGAGCATTGAGTACCGAATGCTGACTGCCGAATATCGAACTCCGAGTTCCAGGATCTCCATTTCCAATTCCTGACTCCCAGAATCTAACTACCGAGGTCCGAATATCGAGTGTTGAGTTCTGAATATCGATTACCGAGTTCTGGATATTGAGTCCCGATTACCGAGTTCCGAAACGTCGGGTACCAAGTGTCGAGTACCAAATGTTTACTGCTGAATATCAAACTCTGAGTTCCGGATCTCCATAACACATTCCTGACTCCCGGAACGTAACTACCCAGGTCCGAGTATCGACACCCGAGTGCCGAGACCCAATTACCGAACACCAAATATCGAGTGTCGAGTTCCAGATATTGAACTCTGAGTTCCGGATATCGAGTCCCGATGACCGAGTTCCGAAATGTCGGGTACCAAGTGTCGAGTACCGAATGTTTACTGCTGAATATCGAACTCCGAGTTCCGGATTCTCCATTACCGATTCCCGACTCCCGGAACATAACTACCAAGGTCCAAGTATCAACACCCTGAGTGCCGAGACCCGATTACTGAGCTCCGAATATTGAGTTCCAAGGTCCGAGCGTCGAGTGCCAAATGTTGACTGCTGAATATTGAACTTCGAGTTCCGGATCTCCATTACCGATTCCCAACTCCCGGCATTTAACTACCGAGGTCCAAATATCAAGACCCAAGTGCCGAGACCCTGGTTACTGAGCTCCTGGCCTTGATGACTGTCAATAGTATCTGAGTCTAAATACAATGATAGCCATCGCCCCAGTACCATTTTCAAATTTGTACAGCAGCATTCATACTTACATTTCTTTGCTTCTCTGTGCCCTTTTGACTTGTAGGTTCCTTTTGCAACAGACCGTTCTTCTTAGCATTGCCTAATGTAAGGTCAATGATATCATCTGCGCTACTCCAACCCAGGGCCGGCCTTTTCTAACTGCGCACCACAACTGAAACCCCACTCCCTCGCACTGAATGTGTTGGTGCTCGAGTGTCATCAAGAGACACGGAAGGCTCTGGACAGTTATTGTATGCATCCGCTATGGATTTCGGACCTCGAGTGTCATCAAGAGAGATGGTTTGTACTTGGTAGTCAAAAGCAGGTACTGATGCTGGTAATTACACTTTCTACTTGTTTCATCTTCCACATGGTGGTAGGGTTCGTCAATCCACCCTAGCCCATCCGCATGAGGGAACCCCGGCATAAATATGAACAGAGTCCCTCATATACCATGCCCACCCAACCCTATCCCCCTCCACCTCATGAACCCCATGTCTGAAAATCCAATCATACACCTGGGATCATACCCAAACTCGGCTTGGCATGCTCATCCGAGCATTAGAATAATTCCCCACAGTGGTGAGAATATCGAAGCATTCAGGAATTGATAAATGGTCTCGATGATATGGGGTTTGACGATTGGAAATGATGGATAGGGTGTTAAACACGGATGCCCAGTACTCCAGGATCTCGGACATTCTTGGCAGTTCCTTGCTTTCTGCCTGTTCTCCAAGGCTTGAAAATGTTTGTAACCCTGCCCAGTACTGCTCCGGATGCATGATCCTGAGTGCCACTGATGTGATGGCTGCCGGCCTTGCAATGGCATTTAGGATTCCCTCGGACAATGGTCCCTTTAATGATGCAGATACCTCCGGGTCCGCTAGATTCTATGGGATTGGTGTGCTCAACTACCGAAATCATCATCCTATCAAATCCTACCTTGTGCCCCTGTTGAAACCATGCCAGAGATAAATTAATGCACCTGGCAGCTAGGCCAACATCTTCCAAGTGGCATTTGAACCACTCCGGATTGGTTCGCCAATTCCCATCAACCTTCATACTTCTTTCCAGACTCGGAGACAGCAACTTGGTGGCTGCCCAAATTTCCTTCTGTGGTTACCATTGGGTATTTAATATATATTGAGTAACAATCTATATCACACACCTGTGTTTCGGCTGTCAGGGTGTCTAGGAGGTACCGTGTGATGATGGTGCCGGACACATCTAGAATGGTGGCGGGTATGTCCACAAACCTTGTCCCCTCATGGCCGGGAGGACATCTCTTAAGCAACTTCTCCTCTTTCTCCTCATTGTGCCCGGTGTTCTTTGGGGAGATCAATTTGCTATATCTTCCAATGTCGATGTTCATCTGAACTGTGATGAAGGAATTTGAATGATCAAATGAATTTTCTGAATCTGCAGGAAGACCCACTCAGATTTTTATATGCCTTTATGAGGCAATCTACCAATCGATCGCAGGCCATCACTAGATCAGTGTCTAGGTTAGGAGAAGGTATCACTGGGTCTCCTCCTGTCTTCTCTGCATTGAATTTCTGTGCAGTATATTCAGATGCCTCGTGAGTCACTGTCAGGGCCCAAGTGTGCCAGAGGCTTATTTGAATTGCAGAAGTGGAAGAACCATTAATGATGAAGTCAATCTTGGGAAATCAGAAGCTGAATGCTGGACGCCCAGAGGTTGGTGTTAAAGGGGGTGGAGATAGTCAGGATCAGATAAGGGAGCCAAAATACCAGATCATTGGAAGTGTGCTGGATATCAGATATTTGTTTGTTGACTCCCGGGGCTCGGATCTTGGCACACTTCACTCAAATTTTAGTAGTCGGAACTTGGCATTTGGTGTTCGGTAGGTGGTGAACATGAGGTTCTGATAAGAGAACCTTCCATGATGTTGGCTGTCGAAGATATATTACCACCTGTTGCTCAATGAAATACCCAATCATTGGAAGTGTGCTGGATATCAGATATTTGTTTATTGACACCCGGGTCTCAGAACTCAGTACGCTTCACTCAAATTTCGGTAGTCGGAACCTTGCTTCTCATACAGCAATGCAACAGTAATGAACATGCAGCTGCAGGAACTCATTATGCTTCACCTGAATTAGCTACTCAGCAATCGGTACTGCATTGTTTTACAATTATCATTCACCTGTGCCCACCCGTCTATCTGATACCCACCTACCTTGACACTCGGCTCACCCGTCTAATATAATATATCCCTGGGCCCACCCGTGTATGTGATAACAAGTACCCTCTGCCGGTGTAAAGAGTAGATCTGGGCTGGGCTCTACTGAATGTGAGTCCCTAGTCCTGAGAGATGCAAGTATGCTTTGTCCCAAGAGACAACCTAAGAACTACCTTGATAATGCAAGGGAAGTCTTATACAGTTAGAGAGTAGACAAGATATTGGAAGAAAACCTCTTTAATGTTCATCCGAAGTTCCGAGACTACTTCCGAAGTACCAAAAAACTTGTCCGATGCGACCGAAGGTCGTCCGAGGCTGTGAAAGTGTTGTCCGAAGTAGCGCGATGCCTTTTGAGGCTTGCGAAGGCTGTCTGAAGGTCAATATATGTTGGTGTGTCGAATAACAGTATAAGACTTTGCGAAGCGTCCGAAGTCCGGAACGATGCTAATCTATCAGAACTCAAGAATAAACGAAGTGCAAAATTGGCAGCGGTCTAGCCAAACAATTGTTCCGAATGAACAAGGATCGATTGCGCAGTTTATGATTATACCTGAAGTGACTCTACTAATTACTATTTGAAGTACGGGAAGTGAAGTGTCCTATCAGTAGCCAGCGAGCGAGATTATATCCTACTTCCATGAGGGGCCGGAATCCATAGGCGAAACTAGTAGCGAGATAAGCAAGTCCGAACCTATGTAATAAGCTGTGAGGCGTGCAGGAATGCAAGTATACATGTAATAAGCTGCGATGTGTACTGCTTATACGTATTCCGAGGCTCTCGACAGGATGCCGATGGAATTGTTATTTGTGATGTAGTCAACATATAGTTAGAATAAAGGAAAACGCACCAGCGAAGTCAAAAGGACGAGGATAGGACATGGTATGGTAACTCGTGAGGTTCGGATGGGTCTCGGAACACAAGAACTGCCTGCGGAAGGTTCGGACAAGTGCGCATGGCCTTCGGAAGGTCAAGGGAGGTTGGGGGATGGTATGAACATAGGTGTTGGATTGCCTGGTTCCGAGCCCAGCACCACGACCATCATTACACAGGCCCACCCATCTATCTGATACCCACCTACCTTGACACTCAGCCCACCCGTGTATGTGATAACAAGTACCCTCGGCCGGCCCACCCGTCTATCTGATACCCACCTTCCTTGACACTTGGCCCACCTGTCTAAGATAATATATATCTGGGCCCACCTGTGTATGTGATGACAAGTACCCTCGGCATACCTGTCTATCTGATACCCACCTACCTTGGTACACCCATCTACATAATATCCAACTACCTCAGCCCATCCATCTATAGAATATTCATGTCCATCGGCCCACTCATCTACTCTACATATTCCACACATGGGCCCACCCACCTCCATCGGAAATAATATCCCTCCCGGCCCATCTGTCAACATCGAGGATATACATCACATCAGCCCATCATCCGCTGGCCTGTCTTATATGGGATATTATGTAGGTCGGGTGACCTGTATGATACGGAAATATGTCACTGTAATATGTGCAATCACACACCGACAATGGACCCATCCATTTCACCCATGAAATGAATGGCCATCACATGCCAACAAAACCCCTGTCAATGCATCATACACATCTCAATCACGATGACACTGATGTACACAACCAAACCCCCCCCCATATGATCCTACCCTGCATTACCATAATGCTGACCACATCTCGCAAACAACTGCAGCAAGCAGCCACAGCATACCTCGCTGCTCACATGCAACAGACCGCACCTCTGCAGAAGCGATCCCTGACCCCAATGAACAAAGCACAGACAGGCAACAAGAAGGTAATAACAGTGTGTCCTATTACTTTCACAGGACCACTCGCTTGTTGTGCAGTTTGCCTTGGGTGTCACTCTCATCGCATCACCAAATGCACTGCAGCCCAGACAAGTCAACTCATGTTTTCACTATATCCCTTCCACCCACCCCCCCTACCCTCAAGACAGCAGGCAGTATGGGTTCCTTAGGTAGTTTACAATCTATCCTACATATTTTTAATGAAATCTTTGGCCTGAATCATCTATAAATGCGACTTCGTAAAAATATGTCTATTGTCACATTTCACACATATGCCTGTCATTACATCAATCCTTCATGTATCTTTCTAAACTATTATGGCTATTATAATGGACATATATGGGTGTTATTCCAGGTCTCTGATCCCATCACAGGCTTGTCATGTTGGATATCTCAACATAATGTGCAAGTCTCACTATTAATATTCATTCTTTTATCTGTATGCTCACTTACTGCACACATGTACAAATGTACGCCTCATCTTTACATCATTGCTAACATGCCAGACAAATATATAATCCTCATACCTGCATCATCCTACCTCAGTCTATTTGTTCTCAGACTGAGGTATGACTATACATTCATTATCATACTCGACACTGACTAACATTTCACGTAGTCTTCAAATAATCTCCAATTGACAAGAATGACATGAGTATGAAAATCAGTGGTTCTGAGCCCAGCACCGCAACCATCACTACACTGAGTACCAATACTTGGTAGGACCACCAATACACTCACATAGACTCGGACTACAACCTTCATTAAGAAAGTTAAGCATAATAATAATTTTCATTTTTTCATTATCATTTTCCTATATTGACTAGCGAGTCCCGAGTCCCGACCCTTGATAGTCAATACAATTCCCAAGGTATTTGAACCCTACATCAATGGATAATACATACAAATACAGAATTCATGTCCAGTTGTAGTCACGTGTACCGGGTGTTGAGTTTCAGGTTTCGGTACTCGACACTCGGTGATTTGTGCAGTGAGGGAAATATGGATATGTTGGATACATATCTTTGGGTTTCAGGCTTCAGGTTTCAGGCTTCATGTTTCAGGCTTTGGATGTCGGGCCTCGGCACTCAGCACTCAGCACTTGGTGATTTGTGTACCAGGTCTCAAGTTTCGTGTTTTGGCACTTGACACTCGGTGATTTGTGCAATGAGTGAAATATTGATATGTTGTATACATATTTTTGGGGTTTGGGCTTCGGGCTTCGGACATTGGGGTGCGGGCCTTGGCACTCGGCACTTGGTGATTTGTGTACCAGGTGTCAAGTTTCGGGTTTTGGTACTCGACACCCGGTGATTTGTGCAGTGAGGGAAATATGGATATGTTGGATACATATTTTCGGGTTTCAGCCTTCGGGTTTTGGCCTTCGGACATTGGGCTTCGGGCCTCGACACTCAGCACTTGGTGATTTGTGTACTGTGTGTAGAGTTTCGGGTTTCAGTACTTGACACTTGGTGATTGGTGCAGTGAGGAAAATATTGATATGTTATATACATATTTTCGGGTTTTGGGCTTCGGATATCGGGGTTCAGGCCTTGGCACTCGGCACTTGGTGATTTGTGTACCAGGTGTCAAGTGTTGGGTTTTGGTACTCAACACCCGGTGATTTGTGCAGTGAGGGAAATATGGATATGTTGTATACATATTTTCGGGTTTCAGCCTTCGTGGTTCAGGCCTCAGCACTCAACATTCAATGATTTGTTTAATGTAAATGAAAAATGGGCATGTTGCATACCAGGTTTCAAGTTTTGGGTTTTGGCACTCGACACTCGGTGATTTGTGCAATGACTGAAAAATGGATATGTTATATACATGTTTTCAAGTTTCGAACTTTGGGGTTTGGCCCTCGGCACTCGGTACTTGGTGATTTGTGTACTGGTCTCGAGCTTCAGGTTTTGTCACTTGACACTTGGTGATTTGTGCAATGAATAAACAATGGACATTTTGCATACATGTTTTTGGGTTCTGGTGTCTTAATAACCGAGGGTCTTATATAAAGTCGTGTAAATGTAATGACACCACAATTACACTTTGGATAAGACTGCTTGCCAGTCCTCGATTAACACGGTCTATGACTTTTCCTATTTTCGTGGTAGATAACGTGTGAGTTCTTGGGAGGCTCGCTAAACTAATCTTTTTATAAAGATCAACCTAGCCGGAGCTTTACTTTTCTTTATTGAAACTCAAATCTCTTGTCTAGGAATAAGCTTCTAGACACGTAATTCGGTTTCTGGAACATTTTTGCCTAGGAAATCTCCTTCTAGGCTCTGGACTTGGATACTGGAACTAGTGAGACGTGGTCTCAAATATATGAAATATGTCCAAGATCACTTGGTCTATGGGCACTGGAACTATGAGACAACGGTCTCAAGTATACTATATATATGTTCAAGATCGCTTGAACAAATGGGACTGGAACTTGACCAAGATCGCTTGGTCTATGGGACAACTAGTGAGACGTGGTCTCAACAATATGATAGATGACTAAGATCACTTAGTCAAAGGGCACAGAGCAATGAGACAAAGGGGTCTCAAAGACAATATATGTGACCAAGAACACTTGGTCTATAGCACTAAATAAGTTTCTAAGGTAAGAAACTTATAATCCCAAGGGAATTCTTTTCCCTGCACTTGTCTCACTTCAAAGGGACTAACTTTGCAAGTGAAATATCTGATAGGCAGATTGCTACAAATGGGAGATCATATTTTTTTGGGGGGGAGAATGGGCTCTCCTTATATACATTTTGTGTGGGAAAGTAACCTAGGTTCACAAACAATAAAAAATAAGGAGGACCAATCAAAATATTGGGTCAAACCCAATAAAAGAATAAAATACAAGTGAAAGATGGAGCTATGACATCATTGTGGAGCAGAACATTCTGGAATGTGGAGTAATGACATCATAATGACATCAAGAGTGACATCATTGTGGAGCAAAAGATTCCAGAACCTTCCATGAGTGAGTCAGAGTGAGTCATTGTGGAGCAGAATATTCTAGAAGGAAATGACATCATGAATGATGTCATTGTAGAGTAGAATAATCTAGAGCTTGATGACATAATATCTTTCAACAGAATACCTGCAGGAGTATCTGTGGAGTCTTATGACATCATAATGACATCATACCCTATGGGTACAATTTTATGAAGTGTCAGGTGAGTCAAAGCATCCTAATGAAAAAGTAAAGTAAAGAAACACTAGAGAAAAGTAGGTAGCAAAAATAAGACAGTTGGCAAGAATTCAAACACGGTCTTTTTGGATAGGTTTTTTATAGGCTTTGTACTTTTCTCTATGGTTTTCTCTAGCCAAAGTGAATAAGCCAAAGGCAAGGCTATACCTTAACCTCCATTTCTCTTCTCACATCAACTAGGTCTAAATGTGATTCCCATCTCACATTAGACTTTTTCCATCAAAACGTATTCAGATCATGAAACTTGGGGAAAACTGGAAATATGAACCATGGTTTGAAACCAAGGTATGGGTTGACTAGTCTGAGGACTAAGCTAACAGACTTTGTCTTTTGAGGGTCACCTAGTATTCATGTCCATGCATGATTCCCACATCATGCAGGACACTGGGCTTCGTATTTTGGGTCTCAGGCTTCGGATCTATCAGAACTTGGCACTCGGTGATTTGATAACTGGACTTTTAAGCTTCAGGCTTTGGGTGTTCAGGTGTTCATGTGTTTGGTGTAAGGAAATAGAAATTTCACACATTTTCACCAGTTTCCAGTTTCCAGTCTCGAGCTTGGGGTGTTTGGGTGTCCGGAATGGATGTTGCACAATGGGATTCGGTTTTTGGGCATCTAGGACTCGGTAATCCGTGAATGTCAGACAGATATCTCACTACCTCGGCCCACCTGTCTATATAACATCTCTCTCCATCAGCCCACCCGTCTATATAACATCCCCCTCCATCGGCCCACCCATCTATATAATAAATATTCCACCACTCCCTTGGCCCATCCATCTACAAAATAATTCCAGTATGTTGGCCCACCCATCTATACAATAAACCCTTACATTGGCCCACCCATCTATACAATAAACCATTACATCAGCCCACCCGACATCTTCGAGGATATATATATAATATCAGCATAGATGGGCCCACCCGTCTCCATCAGAAATAATATCCCTCCCGGCCCATCCGTCAACATCGGGGATATACATAACATCGGCCCATAGTCCGCTGGCCCGTCTTATACAGGATATTATGTAGGTCGGGTGACCTGTATAATACAGAAATATGTCACTGTAACATGTGAAGCGAAAGGCATGGCGAGGCGAGGTGAGGCGTGAAGGTTGGGTAGTGATTCAGAGTGTGGGTCGAGGAGGTAGAGGTGGCACCTGTGCAAACCTAAGACAACGCCCCCCAAACAGCCAAGCCCGCGCAAAAGGACATGAGGCCGACCAAGACACCGACATAGGCAGCAGTATGCACGCCTACACGTGGCAGGAGGGTCGGTGTGTGCAGCACTGCGAGGCTTGTGTGGAGGAGGACAACGAGGGAGGTGGTTATGATGAATGGGATGTGCGAGCTGTCATAGGAATGCATTTGTGAGGTCGCGTGAAGGAAATCTTTGAGTTGGTCAGTTACAGGGACGGATGACAGTTGGATTGATACATCTGAGAGGGGGAGGGAGAGTGCACGAGCGTCGTGTCGAGAGCGCTTCCGAATAATATCGGATTTCATACTAATGGGATGAGCAGAGCTGTGAAGCTTGTAGTAGAGGCCGCATCTGCATGTATATAAGATATTGGTACAAATATAGAAGGAACAACAAATGAGAACTTACACATTGCAAACAGTTCTTGCCTTCAGCGTCCTTCCTCCGCAGAGGAGTTGCAGTCGTGTGACAGTTGTAGCACTGTGCGCTACTCACAAGGAGGCAGACGTGGTCAACTGTGGCTAGGGACCGAAATGTCCTCGTCGTTGAGAAGGAGAAAAATTTTAACATTGACGATGCACCATATTGATAGACTTGATTTCAATGGACAAGCATTGAATTGCCTCGAGAGAGAGTGTTGGTATTAATGCATGGATTGAGATAAATAAGAGTCGAGTAGTCGACAGAATATTCGGAGTTGATGACGACGTCTGTTCAGAGGTGGAAATGGTTGAAATGAAAGAAGACTCAATAGAAGCATTGATCAGAATAGAGCTCAACTTGTTTGGCCTTGTGATTATACTACCCTAATTGGGATGCAATTTTACGACTTAGTAATCATTTAAATGCTGAATCAAGAGATGTGCAATGTGCTGTTGGGTGGGGGCATCCGAGAATTAAAAGCTGTTGGAAGGTGACAATGGGTAAGCTGGAGTTAGCATTTATAGTTGTAGGTAATTGTAAACAAATCAGAGGGCAACAGGTTCAACAAATTAATAAAGTGAGACTCAGATTCCACTAAAATTACTTCCTCCCCAACACCTTCCTCGGTTTGGCACCACCATTGTGTGTAACACGCTTGAGTGCTGGAGGAGGAGCCAAAGGAACAACAGGGACCACGTCCGAGTCCACCAGAGTCTGAACAGCCTGAGAGGTAACTCGATGTTGAGCCACAGACACCCTACCACCCCTGGATGCAGATGGCGCCAAGTCAGTTCTAGCGCCATCCAGTGAGAGCTCACCAATGTCAACTTCGAGTTGGAGCTGAGTGGTGGTGGCGGGCCCTCCCGGATTGCTGATAGACATTGCAGTCTGGTAGTTGACAGTGGCAACTGCATTCATGTCAGCACGACTCGCAGAAGTCGGAGCATAAGTGATGTGTGAAGATGACAGAAGTTGTGGTGCAGGAATGGGGATGGTTTGTGGTGCGGAGGCAGGATCTTCTAACTGCTGTAAGAAGTCGTCTTCCCAGGTGTGAGGTTGGGAGGCAGAGGGTGGAGTAGGGGTACCACTAGTAGCTAGGACTGAGCTCATGCTGAAAACCTCCTGGTTGTAATAGTTGATCACACTCGTAGCCCATGGGCTGCGCTTGAATAGTCGCTCTAAGTAAAAATCAAAGTCTTGCGCATAATCAATTTTCGTGGCTGGTCCGGTTGCTGTGAGCTCTTGATCATGCATTAACAAGAAATGCGCCTGAGAACAAGACGAGATCAGCATGCATGCAAAAGTCAGAAGATTATAATGCGCTCACCACAATAGCAGCACCTGCGATCAGACCTTCTGTGACACACTGCATAGACCAACGCTGACCCCTGGCCTTCGGATGACCTTTGGTCTTCCCAGACAGTGAAGCCTTCCCGAATATTTCAACTCGGATGATCTGAGGGACGGAGTCAGCCCTAATGTACTGCTTGGACAGCAGCTGAATACATCACTCACCTTGGCCATGACTGGTGTTTTGAGGAAGGCATCTGGAACTAGAGCAGAAGGATCCAAGAACAGAATGGGGGCTAGATGTGTATACTTTTTGCCACCAACATCCTTCTTTAAGAGAGCAAGGAGTTGCGCATTCTCCTTCTTTTTAGCAGCCTCGTCAGTGAAGACGGTCGGGTTGAGTTTTAATGAAGAGAAGATCAAACCAGCGCAGTCCTTGAGACTATGCAGTATGTTTGACCTCTTGGAATTAACTGCAGCACGAAACTAGAGTATCTCATACATAAGTGTTGATGCGCAGACAGAGGGAGAATTGGACATACCGCTGATCCAAACTGTGGGTAGGTCTCCATTGGTTTATGCAAAGCCTTGGGTATGCACTGATAAAGCTCAGCCATCGCACCATTGAGTTTCGCTTCAGGTGAAGACCAACACGTGTCGCTGCATGGATCAATGTCTGGCTGGGGTTTTGTTGGAAAGAGCCCGCTCATGACCCAAAAGTAGTTGAGCATGGCATACATCTTGCCTGCATGGGCGATGTCATCGTCGATGGTTGATGTCTTCTTAAGGACTCGGTTTCGGCTGCGTGCAGGGACAGCAGCCTGGAGCATAGCGTGATCTTTCTTGAGAGCGCGCAACTCAGACCGAACAGCAGTATATGCTTGTTGTGCCACTTCTAGTGCCTAGAGATTCAACTGCTACATCAACCGAACCAAGAGAATGGCAGCATGAGTGAACTCACCCTGTGGACTTTGTGCATGGGCGCTGTAACAATGGTCGCGGCGCTGGGCTCAGAACCAGCTATTTTGATACTGATGTCAAACAGTATTTGTCCGATGCACTTCCGACTACCCCGACCCGAGTCCAACAGTCCGATCCCGACCCGACGCACTTTCCAACAGTCCGATGCATGTCCAATCCCGACCTGACATTCCCGCGCATCGGACCAGTCCTCCCTATGTCCTGTCCAGTCGCATCTATCCTCACTAGGTGCGCATTTACTCTTTTTGACTTGCTAAGCATTGTATACAGTGTTATTACATGTTTTCTCATGGTCCGCAGTACCACATGTCCTATTACATAGGATTTTGGACCTGAAATATCGCTACTACTCTCGCCTATAGCAGTCCAAATTTCTACATAGTCACTATTTAATATCTAGTACTTCCTACCTATTGCATTACTTACTTTTCCCTACTCAGTAGTAGGATGAAAGTCATTGGATATTAGTAGTACTTTATTGTATTGCGAAATATCTATCCGCTCTTTTTCTCCGAAACATTCCAACACATCCGACATTCATTTGACCGACAATCCGACACACTTCTGACACATTCCTTTATTGTCCGACGCATTCCCGACAGTCCGACGCATAGTCCGACACCCGACCCGACTCCAATATTTTCGGACCCGACAGTTTCCCTTCAGACAAGTAGTTCTTAGCTTCCAATTATCTTCCTACTATTGATAACTAATTATCAAAACTAATACCAAACAGCTACCCCTATAGGATCGAACGCACTTGCTCTGCAAGTATAGCAGACTAGGTCATGCTAAAGATCTACCTAAATATTTGTTGTCTAGGTAGTACGATTTCTGCTGAGCCCAGCAGAAATCAGCTTTCTACAGCGCTGTAGCAATGGTCGCAGCGTTGGGCTCAAAACCACGTATTTCCATACTCACATCAACACCCGAAACATATGCGCACATGTCCGAGCCACTCCGTATCAGATCCGGCGCATCGGACCTTCGGACATCACATCGGCCGATCGCACTTCGCGCGCACTTGTCCATCCCGTGTCCTATCCATCCGAACTAGCCTCACTAGGTGTGTAGTCATTTCTGTGCATGTTTTCTGACATTCGGACCGTGTTATTACATTTCCGGATTTCTACGTACTTACTTAAATACTCTGTGGTGACCCATAGCAATCATGATCCAGTAGTTAGGAGCCGTTTCCCAACTCTGCGGATCACCCAGAATATTCTCATAGTTCTTAGTTGCATTGCGAAATATTACCATTCATTCACTGTCATACTCTGTCACTTGTTATACTCACGCATACCACTCGCAATCCGACACTCGTTATAAAGTTTCCAACCTATTATCATGAAGTCCGAAAGTCCGAAATCTCGGACATTGCACTTTGGCTTCGGACATTGGATAAGTACCTTCGGACATCATCGGATTACCTTTGGACATCGTTTCGCACCATCGGACATTTTGTTATTTGCATTACTGACACATTTTACTACCAATACCAATTAGCAACCCCTATAGGATCGAACGCACTTGCTCTGCAAGTATAGCAGACTAGGTCATGCTAAGATCTACCTAAATATTTGTTGTCTAGGTAGTACAATTTCTGCTGAGCCCAGCAGAGATCAGCTTTCTACAGCGCGTCAGGCTGAGGCATTGTCAAGACCATCCTCAGGGTGTCAAGATCGCTCCAGGCATCAAACTCGTTGTCTTGCTCATCATTTCCAGATTCGGACTCAGTATCCTCAATAGCATCGAGTTCTGCTGTGAAGTCGTCTGAGGAATATCCAGCCTGGGGCATGACAATTAAACTAAGACACAAGAAATTTAAGTCTGAACAGTGGAGATATGAGACACAACAATTTCACTTGCCTGGTTCCATGTTATAAAGACGTGACCCTGCACAGGGCCAGTTGCTCCACAGCATCTTACCGTCCTTGCTGTTGACATGCGGCGTGTTTAGTTCAGCCTTGGCAAAGTCGACATGTAATAAAAGCTGCAGGTACTTTAACTTCAGTACCAATTACTATCAAATGACTAATGAACACGACAATTTGGACTTACAGTGGGACAGATTCTCGTACGTATCTTGAGTCCAGTGATACGATTGGATTCGATCTTGGGTTTCTTTGCTACTCTCTCTTTGTCAAGTAGAAGCTCCTTGTCCTCTTTAGTGCCCAATGAGGGAAACTTGTGTTTGCTGCGTGTAGTCATGCTTGAGATTTTCTCGAGAAAGGAGCATTTTAGTGAGCTCTAGACCCTGCATTAACTCGTTCTGCAACTGTGAAAGCTTATCAGATGACGTTGCTTGTGAAGCACGGGTCTTGAGGCCCTGTGACACAAATCAAGAGTGTCTTGTGGTGGTCCAGTAAATAGACTTGCATGGTGCAAGAACTATTGGAGATATGGGAGAGCGGAGCTGAGTACGGATTTGGTGTGCATGGTGTGGGCAGAGGAGATGGCTGTGTTGTTGGAGATATGGGAGAGTGGAGCTGAGTATGGATTTGGTGTGCATGGTGCGGGCAGAGGAGATGGCTGTGTCATTGGAGATATGGGAGAGTGGAGCTCAGTGCAGTCAGACGAGATGATGTTAAGAAAAGAGAGATCTACATACATATCTGGACACTGTAGTTCTGATTCAGACTGATAGAGATGAAGTAAGGAGACATTGGAGCTGGTCACTGGCGTGCTGGACGTGACTTCATGCACACAAACATGTCACTATTGATATGGTCGACCACGAGGAATTCATCTCGGTGATCAGGATCAGGGAAACAAACAGCACCATGAATGAAAGACTAGACTAGAATGAAGATCGAACTTGCCCTTGGGACAGCTTTGACATGAGTAAGTCGTAGATCACGGTCCAACCTGCGAGAAGCACCAATGCCAGCAGTGAATGGCTGAACCAGTGCAAACTCGAAGGAACCAACATCCAGAAGCTGACAACTGAATATGAAAACAAGGCGAACAAAGACTGATACTTCCTGGGCGAGTTGTATAAGTGCACAGTCATAGCGCGGTTGCCCATGGAAGCCTGGGGTGCATCGAAGGTAGTCGGTAGTTTGCTTCCAGTCGACGGTAGACTCATAGTGAACTTTGAGAAAGCAATGTTCACGAATCTGGTTCAGAAATACATAAATCAGTACAAGACACATACTAAAACAAGATCAACTCACCAAGAAGTTTGTCGGTATGGTGACCCATCTTTCCAGTCGATATCCATACGTCGGTAATGAGTTGTTGATAAAATCAGAAAACTTCTTATGAAAGCCTTGAAATGCACGATCCAATTGGCTGCTGTGGGTCTTGGTGTCTTGGATGGCTACGGGCTGTTGCGTCGAACCAAGTTTGATGTGCCCCTTGAAAGCAACAGGATTCGGGTCTTCATCGTCATCATTGCCCTCTCCTGCAAATGTGCGCCACTCGTCAAGCACGTCCACGTGCGCTCTCAACATTTTGGCTGCGAATTTGCGCGTGTCAACATGCAGTATCTAACAAGATCTTTACATGAGTGAACATCAGATGCTATAATGTTAGAAACATACCTGGTCAGCGATGTCCTTTCTATTTGACTGGCGCTCATAGGCCTCTTTGAGGGGGCCATGAAGCTTCTCATTCGTACGGGTGCTGTAGTTGCATACTGCACCCTTCATTCGGATGTCCCTAGTGCGTGCTTCCAGAGATGCGCCTTTGGAAAGACCCAGTCAAGCTTGAGACCTACAATGGGAGAATTGAGAGCACATTCAATGTATTCCTAGAATGTGTGATCAACAATCTATTCAAAAAGTGAATGAACAAAACATTTACCTTGAGTGCGCTATCAAAAACGAGTAGTTCAGCATCAATTGCTGCCAGTGTGCTTGATGTATGCACGTCGAGACCAATATAGCTATCCAATTGCAGATAGCTACTAATAATGTGAAGAAGTTTATACCCTTCTGGGCTGGTCCTCTGGTTCAAGACGTTTACCGCAGAATAGAAGGCTTGCTGCGCGTCAGTTAGTATTAGAAAGCCAAAAGCCTCATGATATGTACCTTGGATAGATCTTGCATCTTGTTACCATCACTGAAGGTAATGTGGATGATGGTGCTGAAATGATTAAGATTGCACCATTGAGGGAAACTAGCAACCCTACCGAAGGTCATGAGTTGACGAGAATCGCGATGTGAATGACTTACTGTTTCTCGACCTTTGACTCTTCATCACGTCCAAGCGCTTTGAGGATTTTCTTCAACTCCTCGAGTAGGTGCCTCCACATACCAAGATGGAGGGCATGAAGGCAGTCAAAACTGATGGCTTGATGAGGGTCAGAGTGCGCAATGAGCCAGAAAACATTCTGTTGATGAGATATTAGTAATGAAAACATGGAGGCGAAACGAGAGAGTGAATATTGCCGATAACTTACCGTGACAGCACGCAATCCTAATGCCTTGAGTAGTTCCTCACCTCGAGCTTTGCTGACCTTGTAAACATTGAGTGCGGCTATTGCTTCTTCCACTGTTCTAAATGCAAACATCCTTGATAGCTCGCTAAGTTCTTCAAGTGGTACAAGACATACTGGACAGGGACATTTGCTATGGTGGCCATGAGTGAGAGACATCATACATCTAAAAACAGTCTAATATCAGATTGCGGACATGTGTAAGAATATAGAACTTACTGTTCTTCATAATCAGCAGAAAGTATCAGAATAATGGGAAACAACCAGCGTGCGATCTTGTCATAGCAAGTATGTGAATAACCAGACTCTGAGTGTTGCGCGACCAGTTCCAACAGTTTTAAGAATGCCTCGTGCCATATGACACGCTTGAGGTTTATGAAGCCTGGCTTGCCTTCTTCGTCTGCATCTTCAGATACCTGCAACTATAATGAGTCACATCAGAAGATTCGATCAGAATGTTGACATATGATTGGCAACCACCTGACAACACGGCCACCGCCAATGGCCTCTCCATTCTGTATGCCAACTGGCAAATTCACACAACGGACCACAACAGGATATCCCTTTACTGTACCATGGGACGACAGTCTTGTCTTGTCCGCATTGTTACGACTTGGATGGTATCTGTTGGCGACGCTCAAACAGAGCTTGTGTCGTCAACGGTCTGTGGACGTCCTTGGGCTAGCCCAAGGTTAGGGGTCGTACTTGGTGTGTCTTCGGCAAGTACAATTTAACGCCTATGTCCAAATCGGGTAGCTTATGTCACGCGGGTGCGAGACGATAAGCTATATCGGCCTAGGCTTACGACACCCGAAGGTTAATCGTAAGGATCGTCGTTAATTAGAAGGACGGAAGTCCGACTAGTTTAACAGGGGCTTTGCTCGTCGACGAAGTCAATGAGTAAAGATCGAGACTATAGGCTTATCCGCGAGGAGCAGATAAGAAGATAGAATATAGACTGCTGGCAAGGCAGAAGGATCACTCTGGTGAGAGTAGGAGGTCAAGAACCAAGTAGATTCAAGTTAGGGAATATAGTACATGGTAGCGAGTTTATATAGAGGACAGGAAACATATTAGTGGATGATAACTCGTACTACCGGGAGAGGCAATCGGTAAAGGGTAAGACTATAACAGGAAGGCACGTTCGGTCTGGGTAGAACGTGCTAGATAAGAAAGTGAGTCAACGATAGAAATGAGAAGTGAAACACGCAGGGGCACGATCGTGCAGCTGCGGATCTAAGTATAAGTCGCATGTGCGACTGCGCACCGAGTCAGAGATCATAAAAGGAAGGGGATGCGTCGTGCATCATAACATTGGTTACCGTCCAGACGGTAAGGGCAAAGGGACTGTCCGCAGGATCAGTCAGGTGGTGAAGCGGAGCATGGGTATGCTTCGTCAGCGAAAGGATCCGGCCAAATGTACTGGCTTTGCTGAAGCGACAGGTAGAGGGCGAAAGGGAATGCGAGGATGACGAGGATGACAAGGGTAAGGTCGGGGTAAGGGTATGATGCGAGGGCTGATACGAGGAGGATTAGGAGAAAAATAGTAGGGGCCCAAGCGTCTAGATGTTCTTGTAACACGCATCAGGATGAAGCAGAATGGAGCGGCCTTAATGTCACTCGGAAGGCAACTCTGATTTGTTGATGCTGAGTGAGAGTAGATAGTGATATTAACAAAGATTACATGCCTGGACGTCCCACCATTGATCACCCATCCAAGGCTCATTGTAAAAGTGTTCAAACTCCCTGCCGTTGTGCTTGAAAACTCATTGTGCATCCCAGACAAAATGTGGAGCAAGCAGTGGATTAGCTAACAAATCAAGAGCCCAGTCCCACAGAGGCAGTGCGTGAGTCTCATACACTCATTGTCCTTTTTTGTAAGGAACGGTGATGTCGTGTTTTACAAACTAATTCACAACATATATCATACAAAATGTGAGATTTATTAATGACATACTGGCGTCACCTGAGCAGCTGCGTGTTCCCAAGCTTTGCACAGCTCATTATCATTTGAAAAAGTTACCCAGCTCTCTCCTCTCAATATGCGACCAATGAGCGCAAGGAGTGCATTAATTTGTGATTTATTGAGTGCGGCATTGAGTGTGATCTCCGCAAATTCAAAGTCGCCATGGGAACAGAAAGGACGCCAGGGCTCTTCATCTACAGGGAGCTCTTCCTCAGGATGTGAATTGACGCCGAACTCTTCAAACATTTGAAGGAGTGGTTCACGACCAGCAGAAGGATGATACATTGTTTTGAATTCCATGGCTGTGGAGGAGGTATTGCAGGTTGCGGTTCAACAGAATGTCACTGGCTGTTGGCTATGCAAAAGAATCAGTAAGCAATACAGGTGAATATGGTGCATGCTTACCTAGGCTACCAGCACCTTCGAGGTTCCCATTGTAGTTCCCATTGTAGGCTTTGAAATCACCAGGGTCCAGGTTATCTGCTGGCAGCACAGGGTCAGCTAGTGTCAGTTGGCGTTGGAGGAGCACACAAAGAATACGTGAGACATACCTAGAGGACTATGATCCCTGATTGCAGGGGGCGCGTTCTGAATCCCAGCAACTGATCACGATGGGCCAGCGCTAGGGGGCGTTATTATGCCCATGTCAGTGTGAGCCTGCTGCCGAGCTGCATACCTCAATATTGTCAAAGGAAACATCAAAAGTGGGTAGCAGAGGACTCACCTCTTTTCTGATCTCGTGCATATTGAATGGCGAACTCCGCTTGTTCCGCCTTGGTGTCCTTCTGCTTCTTGCAGCTTGTTTTGTGCTTCTTGAAGCCTTGGGTCTTGAACTTCTTGCTACAATGCGGGCATAGAAGCTGCCCTGTCAGAGTTTCTTCGGAGAAGTTGTATTTGCTTCGATGAGTGCGAGAGGGACCCATGCTGATGGCGATGTGATATTGCATGATGGATGTATTGTTTATCAATGTCATTGCATAAGAATATCTCACGCTTTTGATGACCTCAGCCACCTTGAAAGGCACTTTTAATGTACCTTTCAATGCACATGACCCAACTTGTAAGCCAGCGGCATTACAATGGCCTGTGACTTTTTTCTGACAACATCCAAGCATCACCAGTATTAGAACCCTTCACACAGTACACCATGCCTCTGATCCATTAATAATAATGTTGTAGTATGTCTCCTAATTTTAGGGCATCAGTCTCGCTGTATGTATCGATATACTCCTAATCTATGAGAACACAGCTCACCTTTAGCGCCATAGGCACAAAACCTTGTTTCAGACCAGAAAAGCCCTCCTTTCGCCCAATTACACTCAATAAACTGTCACCACAAAATAAGTACACACTGAGCATCACTCACTCAGAAAACAGAGATCCGATGTGTAAGTAGTGCTGCCATGGTTCGGTCCAGAACCACGGTCAGGTTCTTCCTTGGTTTGGTCTGTGGTCCATGAATTGGGGCGGACCGGACCTGAGTGAGGTTCACGGTCCACCATTTGCCCGAACGGTTCTATGTTGGTTCGAACCTTCCCCAAACCGGTCCGAACCCCAAACCGCGAGAAGTTCTGTCACATTGTTGAAGCATGTTTTGACACTGCCTTTGATGATTCGCCTTGGCCTCAAGGATTCTCGAGCTTCAATACTTACTTGTTTCTGTCAAATGCAGAGGCTCATTGACAAGGTAAGTCATGATATGCACTGTTCAAACTGAACAGTGTGAGTGTTGTGCTCGTAATGACCATGTCCTCGCCCAGATCCTTATCATACCAACACCCTACGATGCTATTACGATCCTCCACCAGCTGTTTGTCCACCGGCTGTCTGATTTGCTTGCACATAAAGTGTGCAAGCCTCAGCAGGTAAGTAATTCAACATGGCTTATTTAGACTCATGCGTTGTCAATGCTGACGGTTCTCTCAAGGATGCCAAGGACATCGTCTTCTACCACGATCCCGATGATTCTGTCCCCATTGACACCACGTCCTCTGCCCCCCAGCCATCATCATCTACTAATCCTCCTCAGGATGCCTTCTCTATGCTACTGAATACTGGGCGCAAACCAACACCAGTTACAGCTGGTGCTCGATGATCCATTCGGACCTCTAAGCCATCTGCTCGCCTCCAGGATGCTGAGAACATTTATTCAACCTCGACCTCCACCAGCTCAACACACCGCAAATGTGCATTGTCTAGCGCTACTGAACTTCAACTTCAACCGGCTCACAAAAAGGTTTTATCATGTCTGTTATCAGATGAGGATAGCCTTGATGACAATGATGCTGGTCATGACACTGACCCTTTGGAGGACCAGCCCGAAGCCGAACCTGAGGATGCCATCCAAGCAACTTTGCCGAAGACTGAATGTACCGCTGACATTCGCACTGTCTTCACTCGCCATGAAACACACTGGGTATGCAACCCTTGCAAGTATGTAATTAGAACTGTGTGTATTGTGTTCTGCTAATGTTTGGTAGGGACGCTGGTGAACCTGAGAGTAAGCATGTCTTTCGAGGAGGTATCTCTACACTCCGCACACACATCAGTCAGTATGTTCTTTCAATGTCATCTCTTACTTTTGCTGATATCTATTAGTAAAAAAAACCACTTTCAATTCTACAAGGCTCACTGCCAAGCAGCAGGGATTACTATGCACCCTCATGCCATTCTGACTAGCGAGGATCAGGCTCTGTAAGTTTCAGCTAACGTTTTGCATCAAGTGTTGCTGAATCATTGACAGTTCCAGACAATCCACCCTTGATACGATCCTCGTCACCAAGGTGCCTGTATTTACCAAGGAAGGACTCCTGGAGTACATAATGGAGCTTATTGTGACTGAAGACGAAGCGCTGCAGCTGGTCAACAAACCAGCCTTCCGAAACTTACTTCGCTATGTTTGGCCTGGCCTTACTGAGAGAGACATACCTCACCACACCAAGCTTACTGAGACCATCAAGGCACGCACATTAGCTATAGTCAATGTCATATGCGAACGTCTCGCAAAGGTTGATAGTAAAGTTTCCATGATGTTCGACTCTTGGACTTTGATTATTGGCGACCCATTTTTCTCCGTCACTGGCCATTACATTTGGAACCTGGATGATAAACCCCTGCAATGGGAGTTACGTCGTGAGCAACTCAGTTTTGAACACATTGAGGGCGATCACAGTGGGCAAAATATAGCTCGTATGCTTATTAACTCAATTGACACATATGATGTCCAAGCTAAGGTAAGGTCTGGCCTCTACTATCTAATGGTAAAGCTAATGGTTTGCTTCATTTGCTTCGTGCAGGTTGGATGGATGACTTCCGACAATGCCAGCAACAACGATACGGCAATGAAGGAAGTTGCTCGCGAAATCGATCCAGAAGGTGTCCGATGGATACCTGCCACACACCGCATTAGATGCCAGGAACACATTCTGAACCTTGCGGCACGACACTTTGTAGATGCAGTTACGAAGAAGACCCATCAGGCACTTGATAAGGGAGATGATGCTGAACTCGACATCTTAAACAAGGAGCTTGCAACCTTGGACGTTAACGGCAACTGTGACTGTGAAGATGAGTTCAACACTGGTGATTCGCTTGGCAAAGTGCTTGCACTTATAGAGCAGGTACATTATTTTATTTTTATCCTTATCCTTATCCTATGCTCTTACTGATTGAGATTGTTAGATACGCAAATCACCTCAAGCTCATGCCTTCTTCAAGAAGGCCTGCAAAGAGGAGAACATATTCAAGCTTGAGTTATTGCAGTGGATCCGAACTCGTTGGGTGTCCCTATACAAATGTCTCAACCACATGCTACTCTTATGTCAGGTACATTTTTTTTCTATTCAGTGTTCATGAATCTGATATTTATATTTTAAACAGGCCGTCAACCATTTCACCAATCTCGCTGACGAAAGCAAAGAGGTGCCAAATCTTTGTAACAAGTCTTAGGATGATTTCAAGCTTGGCCGGAGTGACTGGAGACACCTTGGACTTGTTCATCAAGTCCTGAAGGAGCCAGCTACTGCCCAACAAACTTTCTCCTCCGCAAAACACCCTACTGCGTGGCAAACAATACCTACATTGGAGTATTTGGCTGACCGGTGGCAAGAGATGGCCAACAATATACAGTATGCGCCGATCGCTGATGCAATCAAGCAAGGACTCAAGAACGTCAACAAATACTACAAGAAAACAAGCGACTCGGATGTATATTTTATTTGTCTCAGTGAGCATTTATAAAAACTTCACTTTCCTCCCATCTTCCTCCCCCATCATACCTATTCACCGCCTCGTATGAAAAACTTCACTTCCCTCCCATCTTTCCCTCCTGTTGTACCTACTACCTCCCTCTCTCTTCACCACCTCGTATGGAAAACTTCACTTCCCTCCCATCTTTCCCTCCTTGTGCCCGCCTCTCTACAGTCCTTGACCCCAACTATAAGCTTGCTTATGTTGAAGAACGGTGGGACAGTCAAGACATTGCGGATGGGAGGGCTCACCTCGAGACTGTCGTAAGTATTTCTTCAGACTCATCATTGTCCTTTGGCTTACATTCTTCTACAGTTTGACGAGTACTATAAACCACCAACTCGGATGCCTGTCGATGAACCTTCTCCGCCAACAAGACCCTCGCTGGAAAACCGGTATGGCGATGCATGGATGCACGAGGCCATTAAGGCACGTCAAGCTGCAGACCAACTTGCTCGCAATCCTCATCAAGAACTCACAGTGTATCTGTCTTCACCACTAGAGGAGGCCAACGACGTTGTTGCCTGGTGGGGGCTTCATTCTTTACAATTCCCTATGCTTGCACATATTGCGCGCGATTATTTGCCCATCCAGGGCAGCTCCGTCCCCTCCGAACAGGCTTTCTCAAGTGGAGGGATCACCTCCATCGTGTGACGCAATGCACTCGCATCGTCCATGTTTGGCTCGTTACAGTTGTTAAAGGCAGCGTATAGGAATGGCCATGTTTCTGCGACAGTCGAGGCAGAAGCTGTGTAGTTGGATGTGTAGCTATGAGTACCTACCTATGTTTTTTTTTACTCATTGTAAATAAATTTGGTTCGGTTCACGTTCGAACCTGAAATTAACCGGACCTGACCATCCTGAACCGTTCGCCAAGGTCCAGTTCGAGGTTCGTTGAGTCTGGTAGAACCGGACCTAGGTCTGGTTCTTGGTTCTTGCTCGACCCTCTGTGAACTGGACCGAACCGGACCACGGCAGCACTATGTGTAAGAGACAGCGCCACAACAGCAGTTGATAACAACAACCTCTGATTAAGTAATGAGTGTCAGAGCGCATAGACGCGGACTTGTTGGTGAAAAGTAAAGTGTAAATGCTTCGTTGGTACTTATCACCAGCAAATCATCATGGAGATCTCATTTAACGCTGGGCTTATATTTGCGATGCTGCTCTTGGATATTCCCCTACAATCATGGAAGCCTATCTATCTGAAGTTCCAAACGAAGTCATAGTATTTGATTTGATTTTATCGTCATTCATAATTCAAAGTTCAAACATATACTTGCTACAATGAAAGGAAACAAAACATGACCGTAACGGGGAAGACCATCACTTGAGACCCAGCTTCATTTAATCTCGAAGTGAAGAACAACGTTGGTAAACATACATTTCAAAAAGCCAGAAGAAGGGAATGATCGTTCTCAGATTGAGATAGCGGAAGAACAACCGGCAAGGGACCTTGAAAGGGTAGGATACTAAAAGAACCAGACGATGACGAGTAGTACCATGGTAACCACGAACTGAATGAGTGGAAAGATAAACTGCAGTGAGTTCAAGAGCTTCATGAACCACGCGGGCATGGATGCCGGTATTGCGCGTAGGCGTTCAACCTTGTGCTTGGGCAGGCAACAAGGGCCAAAAGGCGGGTGCCTCAGGGTGAGCGTGTGCTGGCGCATGAGGATCTTGCCCACAGATATGAGGATTACGACGCAGAAACTCAGTGAGGCTCCGATACAGAAGAGTCCGTGTGAGAGCATATAACGCAGCGAAGGCGTGTGAGATTTGTGCGCAGGGACATCAACGTTAACAGCCTGAGGGTAATCCAGTGGTGACGCATTGAACCAGACTAAACCCGTGATCACTGCCTAGAGTTGATAGATAGAATCATGCATCATCAGAGGATGGAATAATACTGCAGATGCATGTGAACTCACTGAGAACAGAGTCCAGTTAAGGACGATGATAAGCAGTTCGAGAGCGACTTCGTTGGGACCCAATATCTCTTCCTCTTCCGATTCTGGAATCAGTGCGTCGACCTTTTCAAGGTCTGAGAACTGCTGCTTTTCCATGTCGCAAGATTGATGAGAAGGATTCATCAGCAAAAGCGCCCAAATCTAGCGAGGGCCGGCAAGGTCCGGATAATATCCCATGGCCTCGTGATGCCTTCTGAGGCGTGAATCAATTCGTTCGACAACGTGCAAGATGTGCCTACTCGTCTTGCAAGGCGTTGCTAGACTCCCTCAACCTCACGCCAGTCTTGCGAGGCATTTCAAGACTGGTACTGTCTAGTACTATGTGGATGCGAGGGAAACTTTATCTGTGTGGGCAATGGTATGTTATTTTGATATTTTGATATCCACTAACCTCAGTGACCATACCAAGCATTCGACTCCCAAGTTGCATGGACGACACATTTTCGATATCTATTTCAACCCTACTCGACTTGAAGCCGTGTAACATACCAGGATCCCATCATCAGGTATGTCCTATGTTTATTCCTTCGTGTCATCTCATTTTGCAAAGTTTCAAGCTGCCTCCCTGAGAGGTCATAAACGTTTGTGCGATCCCGATTCATGATATGCGCTATAACTATAATATACAGTGTTTTTGCTCATCGATGGTGTGAAACGTGCAGTTCGGTCCGGATGATTGGTTCTAGAATGAACTCGACCCTCTCTTAGCTCCACATATTGAGATGAGCGCTATCTTTGGTATCTTGTCACTGAGCAGAAGCACGCGATCTTGATTGTGAACTGATCTCAACCGTCATCCAGGTTATCTGCCCGGACCTTATCCTATCACAATCGATCTGTGGATCTTGTTGTGAGGAACTTGCATTTAAGGCCGCGATCACAGCGTGTTTCCGCTGTCGCTCATGCTGCCCCACTCAATCTTTGTCTTGTTACTCACTTTTCTCTTGATGACACAGTGTCCAAACTGCAATGTAGAGGTGCACAATCGCGGCCTGTCCGTTCACCTGAGCAGATACTGCAAGATACGTGATATAGCCACCACGTCAGCTCTCGCTGAGCGGCGCGAGCGCGGGGAAGCTAGTGCTGAAGCTACTCGTTTGGAAGATGAACGCCGGCAGGAAGAACAACGTGAAGAAGAGCAGGAGCACCTACGGCAACTACGGCAGCCTCGAGTGGATGTGAGTGTTGTGTGTTATTAGATGTGAACCTGATGTTCATGGAAATATTTGCATATGAACAGGAGGTGCCGGACATTGAAATGGAGCCACGGCCATCAGGGCGTCCAAATCGACAAATCCGCCTCCCCATGTGTTATCGTGATGAAGTCCCAGTCCTACTGATCCCGGCCCCACCTCCCATTGATCGGGACGAGCCTGTATCAGCGCTCGGAGACCCACCAGATATTGAGATGGACTCTGATGACAGATCATCACATCATAGCCATGCAGAGCATCCTGAGTGGTTCCGCACTGATACAGACACATTCGACCTTTTTCGTGAATATCCTCATTCATTTCCAACATATGACCCCGAACATTTAGCCTACTTTGACGCACTTTGTGACTCCTCAGCATTCCAGCATGTTGATGGGGACGCCGATTATGAACGGCCGTGGTATGCTGGCTTCGGACAATCACTCGAGGCAGTCCACCATGATTACTTCGCACCATTCCTTAATGCCACTGTTTTTCGGCTCATGACATGGTTTTACAACTCGTCAATCTCGAAATCACTGCAAGATCTCAATTGTTTAGTCAACGATGTCATTTTAGCGGAGGATTTCTGCCGAGAGGATTTGCTAGATTTCAATGCATCTAGGGAGGCATCGCGTCTTGAGAAGGCCCAACATGACCCTGCCTCCTCGATATTCTCCTCTGATGGATGGCATGAAACCTCGGTGAAGATCCGACTTCCTTGTGAAAAAGACAAGTTCTCCTCTGAAGATTGCGCGCCTGAATTTGAAGTTAACGGGCTTTATTACCGCAAGCCATTGGAAGTGCTCAAATCTGCATACCAGGAGGTTGCAGCGAAGATGTTTCACACAAAGCCATACAAACTATTCTGGCAGCCTGACGACGATGAACCTCCAGAGAGGATCATTACCGAGCTGTACACATCTGATGCCATGCTTCAAGAGCATGAGAAGCTCGACTCGCAGCCAAATGAACCAGGCTGTAACCTGGAAACTGTCATTGGTGTGATCATGCTCTGGTCTGACTCTACTCATCTAGCAAGTTTCGGAAACGCTTCTCTGTGGCCGATATACTTGTTTATTGGCAATCAGTCAAAGTATATTCGTGGCAAGCCAACATCATTCGCAGCGCATCATCTCGCATATATTCCAAAGGCATGTCTTTACTATTTGAACTCGAGACACGAACTAATTATGTGTATAGCTATCAGATACTATCCAAGACTTCTACAAGAAGACTTTTGGTCATAGTGCGACAGGAGCAGTGCTCACACACTGCAAACGTGAATTAATGCAGGCCGTTTGGCACTTCCTACTCGATGCCAATTTTATAGATGCATATCAACATGGCTTTGTTGTCAAGTTCCCTGATGGAGTCTCTCGTCGCGTGTTTCCTCGTTTTTTTACTTATTCTGCTGATTATCCAGAGAAGTCTGTTTTACATCTTACTTGATCGCACCATACTAATCTCCACAATGTCAGGGTTCTACTTGCGTGCATGAAATTCCTTGGAAGGTGTCCATGCCCACGGTGTCTTGTTAGCAAGGACAACATTTTCAAATTAGGGACAAAGTTCGATCGACGACACCGCACCAGAAATTCTCGAGTCGACAATCATCCACGGCGTAGTTTCATTGAACGAGCCCGTGAACTCATATTTGTTCAAGGCTATAGTGTAGTCAGCACTGCAATTGAGAGAATCATCGGTACCACCTCTGTGGCACCTATTCGTGTATGTATGATTTGAATCGAGCTATCAAAGTTTACTAATTGTGAGCATCAGAATGCCTTTTCAGAGAAGCTTTCCAAGTTCGGTTTCAATTTCCACTCGATGCTTGTGCCTGACTTTATGCACGAGTTTGAGTTGGGAGTATGGAAGGCAACCCTTACTCATCTTCTCTGAATTTTGTATTCATATGGAGGTACTGCTGTGCAAGATCTCAATGAGTGGTAAGTCATTTTTCTCATATACATATGCGTGTCCATCATAATTCAGGTATCGTCTCGTGCCAACATTTGGACGCGATACCATCCGCAAGTTTAGTGACAATGTGTCAGGTCTTACGAAACTTGCAGCGCGTGATTTTGAAGACCTGCTTCAGGTAGGAATATAAGTAATACAACTGCTGTCATGTTGATCAATGCTGGCAGTGTGCAATGCCAGTATTTGATGGTCTTCTACCGGAACCGTTCAACAACTCAATCCTCAACCTTCTGTTTGAGCTGGCCACCTGGCATGCATTTGGGAAGCTTCGCATGCACACAGAGACGACACTCTATCATTTCGATAACTGTACGACACGGCTAGGAAAAGCTCTCCGGCGATTCCATGACAACACATGCAGAAAATTTGCTACTTGTGACTTGCCATGCGAAACAGCTGCTCGTGCACGGCGTCGGCGTCCAAAAGTGTCTAAAGGCAAGAATGCAAGGTCAGAAAGGACCAATATTAATGTTGAAGGTGATGGCCCCTCAAAGCAACACATTTTCAACCTCTCGACTTATAAACTTCATGCTCTTGGAGACTATGTCAGGTCAATCTGGTTATATGGGACCACGGATAATTACTCTACACAAGTAGCAAGTATTGGAATCTATCACATACATTCACCCACTAATGTTGGAATTAGGGCGAACTTGAGCATCGACGAGTGAAGCGATTTTATGCACGGACTAACAAGAACAAGTTCACACGAGGAATTGCAAGACTTCAGCGTCGCGAGTGCATTTTGCAGAGGATGAAAGAGGTGAACTGTGAAAGGGCAGCTGCACAAGAGAATCATGCACAGCCTGAGACTGAAGATCTCCATCCATCTCTTCATTTCATTGACCAGGAGCCGCTGCCACATTGCTCACCAGAGATCCACTACCAGATGTCCTCGTCACAGAAACATTACTGGGATATTTCTTCCTGGCTCAGAAAGAACAGAAATGACCAGGCCACAAAGGTAGGTCTCTGAAACTCGTAAAATGACAAATGTATTTGCTCACTAGATGTAATTAGAATTTTCTTCCACATCTCAAAGACCACCTGCTGGGTCGCTTGTCAGGACTGGACTACAATGGAGATGAGACTTCATTTAATGTAGTGCAACGAAACTCTGTTGCAATTATCAACAATCAAATTTATCGTCACAAAGTGCTTCGTGTCAACTACACTACCTATGACTTGCAGCGTGCTCAGGACTCCCTCAATCCCCGCACACATGCAGACATCATGGTTCTCGCTTGTGACCAGGAAGACTCCCATCCATACTGGTATGCTCGAGTTATTGGAGTGTTTCATGTCAATATCCGCTACATGAGACCAGGTGCATGTCCCTCTATAAAGTGTGTCGACTTTTTGTGGGTCCACTGGTTTGCCCGCGATATCACTGCACCAACAGGTTGGGCAGCAAAACAGCTGCCACAAGTTGGGTTTTACGATGGAGATGATGAATCAGCATTTGGGTTCCTCGATCCTGACCTTGTCATTCGCGGTGTTCAACTTATCCCAGCCTTTTGACATCTACATATGACTGCACTGTTGGGACCATCCATTGCACGTCAAGCAGCTGACAATGATGAGGATTGGGACTGGTACTGCGTCAACATGTCAGTTATTTCCCACTAACAACATGAATTGAATCTGATAAATTAGCAGGTTCATTGACCGAGACATGTTCATGCGCTTCCGTAGAAGAGGTGTGGGGCACAAATCCATGCGAAGAGAGACATCATACCTGCTTGATGATCGTGATGAGTTGGATAGGATCCCCTTCCAAAGAGAGAAAGAGCACCATGGATCAGAATTTAATGAGGGCTCTGAAGAAGACGAGGATACGGATGAGGATGAGGGGAGTGGCAATGATTGCGAGGAGGAAACAGATGATAGCGAGGAGGAGACAGACAGCATGGACGACGAGGATGGGGATGAAATTCCAGCTACCTTTGAAGCGATGGTAGACGACACTGTTGCCAACGAGATGGATCAATATGGATACTCTGGCCTTGACCAAGTCCTTGATGAGGATGGTGCAGATGAAGACACCAACGGGATTGATGACTTTGGTCCAGAAGATGGGGAGGATGTGATGAACGAGTTTGAGGAGGATAGCTTTGCAGACTTGTAATTGACGACGGTGTCCTGCATGATGTGGGAATCATGCATGGACATGAATACTAGGTGACCCTCAAAAGACAAAGTCTGTTAGCTTAGTCCTCAGACTAGTCAACCCATACCTTGGTTTCAAACCATGGTTCATATTTCCAGTTTTCCCCAAGTTTCATGATCTGAATACGTTTTGACGGAAAAAGTCTAATGTGAGATGGGAATCACATTTAGACCTAGTTGATGTGAGAAGAGAAATGGAGGTTAAGGTATAGCCTTGCCTTTGGCTTATTCACTTTGGCTAGAGAAAACCATAGAGAAAAGTACAAAGCCTATAAAAAACCTATCCAAAAAGACCGTGTTTCAATTCTTGCCAACTGTCTTATTTTTGCTACCTACTTTTCTCTAGTGTTTCTTTACTTTACTTTTTCATTAGGATGCTTTGACTCACCTGACACTTCATAAAATTGTACCCATAGGGTATGATGTCATTATGATATCATAAGACTCCACAGATACTCCTGCAGGTATTCTGTTGAAAGATATTATGTCATCAAGCTCTAGATTATTCTACTCTACAATGACATCATTCATGATGTCATTTCCTTCTAGAATATTCTGCTGCACAATGATGTCACTCTTGATGTCATTATGATGTCATTACTCCACATTCCAGAATGTTCTGCTCCACAATGATGTCATAGCTCCATCTTTCACTTGTATTTTATTCTTTTATTGGGTTTGACCCAATATTTTGATTGGTCCTCCTTATTTTTTATTGTTTGTGAACCTAGGTTACTTTCCCACACAAAATGTATATAAGGAGAGCCCATTCTCCCCCCCCAAAAAAATATGATCTCCCATTTGTAGCAATCTGCCTATCAGATATTTCACTTGCAAAGTTAGTCCCTTTGAAGTGAGACAAGTGCAGGGAAAAGAATTCCCTTGGGATTATAAGTTTCTTACCTTAGAAACTTATTTAGTGCTATAGACCAAGCGTTCTTGGTCACATATATTGTCTTTGAGACCCCTTTGTCTCATTGCTCTGTGCCCTTTGACTAAGTGATCTTAGTCATCTATCATATTGTTGAGACCACGTCTCACTAGTTGTCCCATAGACCAAGCGATCTTGGTCAAGTTCCAGTCCCATTTGTTCAAGCGATCTTGAACATATATATAGTATACTTGAGACCGTTGTCTCATAGTTCCAGTGCCCATAGACCAAGCGATCTTGGACATATTTCATATATTTGAGACCACGTCTCACTAGTTCCAGTATCCAAGTCCAGAGCCTAGAAGGAGATTTCCTAGGCAAATATGTTCCAGAAACCGAATTACGTGTCTAGAAGCTTATTCCTAGACAAGAGATTTGAGTTTCAATAAAGAAAAGTAAAGCTCCGGCTAGGTTGATCTTTATAAAAAGATTAGTTTAGCGAGCCTCCCAAGAACTCACACGTTATCTACCACGAAATAGGAAAAGTCATAGACCTGTGTTAATCGAGGACTGGCAAGCAGTCTTATCCAAAGTGTAATTGTGGTGTCATTACATTTACACGACTTTATATAAGACCCTCGGTTATTAAGACAACAGGTGCATGACAAGATAGCTCAGAAAATTAGCTCTGTTATTTCTAAAGTAATTTACATGCGGCCTGAATCACAGGATGGGTTGGGTCGTAGATGAAATGAGTACAATCAGGTAGTGGGAATCAAAATGCTTATTGAAATGCGCAAGGATTAATGATTGTCAGCAGTCAGCTTCGTTCTGACAGTGCTGAAAGATCTTCTAGTTGTCACTTTTTCTCCTCTGGAGTCCGAGCTGGTCCTTTATCGTTTCAGTCGCTATTAATCAACTGATGTCGTGACATGGCGTCCCTGTATGCATAATCTTGAAGAGTAGAGTATAACACATCAGGCAGCGCAGGGAAATCACCATCAAAGTTGCTTACAAAGGATGCAGTCTGCTGGATCACCGAATGCCACTAGGCCTATGACAGCGCCTGTGCCTGTGTCTGCCCCATCCGCTGATTTCTTCTTTCTATTTTCAATTCAAGTTCTGTAGCCTCGCAACACTGTCGCTAGGGAGAGTATTGGAAGTACACGAAGTGTACCCTCGCTGACGCCCTAGAGCTGGCTGGGGTTAAAGCGGGCCGTTCTTGGGAGGAGGGTAGAGCTGCAAGCACCATTCATACTTTGATTGCCGATATGATGATGACGACGACGAAGTGCGAATTGTGTGTATGGTTTTTCAAAGTCAGCTGGCAAATGCCAGTCAACAAACAACATGTCAAATAAGACATATTTACCCCTTAGTCCTTGACCCTTCACGCATCATGTCTTCGCATCATCATCCTAACACATCTTCAAGCTCCTCTGATCCCCCTGAATGGTCGGAGTCACCAGAACCATCAAGGCCCAGCAAACGCAAGCACAGGCAGTCCTCCAGTGACACCAGCACCAACGACCTCATAAATTCCATATCGTCAGGCTCTCGGAAGCACACAACAAGGTATTGTAATTTGAATTGTGCCATGAGATTTTGACCTTTGGCAGCAGGAAACATGAAGATTCGAAAACAGATGACACAGAGCTATACCGAAACGCAGGAAGGAAGGCTTCGAGCCTTCTGGATACGTTCGGCATACCTTCTGCAGCCTTCAAGACCGGTCTTCAATTTGACCGAGGTGGTAAGCACGACCCAAAACAGTATGTACTTTATATCTATCTCACAATACAGCTAACTCGTTACAGACCTGAAGATGTCACCAATCGGCATTTGTTACTGTACAATGGCGTCATCGACTATGTTCCTGGTCTCGAGAGCGAGCTCGACCACATATCAAGCAAAAAACTCAATGTGATCATTGCAATGGTGACTATATGCGCATATATGCAGCTTGTTTTTACTCAAATCCGACCCTGACAACTGATCTTTTGCATGGCAGGTATCAAAGGGTATGAGTGATGGCAGATCCGCAGATCTGAGCTCTGTCAAGCACAAGGGCCTGCAATACATTGGGCTAAATATGTATAGTAAGGCCGATGCTCTTGACCCACCAGTTCCAGAAATCAAGGATAAGTCGATGCGTGGGCTCAATCACCCGCAGTTGGCCCAGTTTACTTTGCCCTCAGAAGAAATTGTATTGGTTTGACGAGGATCCTGATTCATATGTATGTTTTACTTTTCATTGTTTGTACTAATGTCACTATGTTCAGCGCTATGGCTGCCTTGCAAGCTGGCAAAATCATCATGACAGCACACAACTGGCCAACATTCTTTTATGAACATGACATTTACGATGCTGCTGAGAAGACACATGGCCTGTTTCAAAACCATATTGTTCTGAGGGTGCGTATTCATTTTTACACTGTCATTTATTTATAACGAAGTTACTATAGTTTTATAAACATCTTTTTATTGGACCATCATCCATCATGAACGACTCATCAAATGTTCGCAACTCTGCAAAGCCATCCAAAAATCGTGCATGGGGACTGATGGCTGTTAACAAATACACCATCGCATATGTTTATATTATCGTAAGTTTAGCTCTTTTGCTATTGATATCAATACCTCTCTCATGAACCCATAGACATACTTTACAATCAGCAGCACGCAGCACTGGACACGGTGTATCGGCGACATGGACTTGGATGAGCTCCTCTGGGCCATCATTGAAATGCTAGACGACGATGATGATCCATGGGTCAAAGACACCCTTGCATGGTGGAACAGGTACATTTTTCTATCTGGTTAGTCTAGTGCTAATACTTTACAGGCACCTCAAACCAACCAAGGACAACTTGCACTCGGCCAAACTTATGCGAAAGGAAAGCGAGGACGACATTGCGCAGATTCGTGCTCAACGAGCTGCATGCCGTTCTGCTTTAGCTAAGTCAAATGGTATGTGATGAATAAATATATGATACTGCTACTGATATTTAATTCTTAGCACCGTCATGTCCAGGCCACCCTAACAAGCTTCAAGAGCCCTCGACAAGTGGCAAGCGCATCTGCCCTGTGGAGCACCGCCCTGAAGAGGATATCCCACACGCGCCCAAACGAATTCGGCAAGCAAACGAGGACCTCAGCTCACCGCGTCCTCAAAAGGGCAATACTCGGCGCCATGCTTCAGCTTACGACAACGACGATGACAATGACGAAGAGGTTGCAGCGACACTGCCAAAACAAGCCCACCCTCAACTGGATGGGCAACAGCAGCCACTGCCTAACCAGTCCCTGCCTCAGCACTGTCATGGTGTAATCTTTTCAGACGACGAAGAAGACGAACTAGTACCAGCTCGAAAACCAACTTACCGCTCAGAATTCGATGCTCAGGAACAGCTCGGGTCTGACCCCCATGTCCCCAGGCCATTGCCACCAAAGTTCAAGCCTTGGTACTCCATTGAGGTTGCTGACCACAATACAGCTCCTGCCTCAATGCGAGCAGGCCATAGCCCTGCAGATTCTGTTAGAGAGGATCAACGACTTCGGCAACACTGTCCTGCAAGTGCCTCTATTCACCACAATGACGAGGACCAGCCTCCGCGTATCAAGCCAAAACCCAAGCCAAAACCTCATCATACTGCTCGCAATGAGCGTGAGTATTCAGTAGGTGAGCTCATGACTGAGCAGCAGTGGGGTATGATTGGGGTATGTCACTAGGTCTATTTTTTTTCACTCTGTTAATGTCATGATTAGGAGTCCCAGCCAGTAACTGCACCATCACCTCCACGCCCCTCATCCCCACTGTCAGATCTGACTGACAACAACAACTTCACTCCACCACCCCTCGCTCAGCCCTCAAAGCAAAAAGGAAGGAGGAAAACTACTACGGCTCCGGACGCCCCACATCGAACTTCCGGTCGACGCAAGAATGGTTACTAGGACCATGAACTTTCTTGCTGTTTCATTCCCTATTGCTCGTTTTCGCTGCTTGTTGACCACTGCCATCGACTCAATCATGCTCTGGACTTTACTGTGACCCGGACTTCGTACAAATGATGTATTTTAGTACTGTACACTAATGCATTGCCTCTCGAGGCCTTTCAAAGTACACTTAACACGTGTGATCTCGTAAAGCCTTCTATTGTATATAAACCTCGAGTGATCTAGCAAGGCCTAGTATACCCTTGCAAGCTTCCACAGCCTTAGCACCCTCACAAGGTCAACCTACCTCGTACATCCTCGAAAAGCCATCCTAGATGCACTCTAAGAAGGCCATCCAAGACGGGGCTATTTCCTTGCAAGGTATCGCAGGCCTTCCAATATTCACAAGGTCGTGTGTGGTCTTGTTAGGCCTTCCAAGTAGTGCTGTCCAATTATGATTATAATACTCTGAGGAGCATAATATAATGTATTCATAATATTACAGGCCAGAAAGCAAGAGTATTTAATCATATAGGTATTGTATTGAAATGTGATGGTAATGTAACCATATTTAATTGTATTTAATGGATGTTCACGCCCTCGAGAAAATTTACACCATTCCCAAAATCACGTTTTAACCATTCCTTCGCGATAATAGTGATTGACGCAGACTCTGCGCTCAGAGACGACCGGCTATCGGAGAGTGTATGTTTGCTGCTTGAGAACAAATGTTCGACGGAGACACTAATGGCAGGGATCACGAGAATGTCGCGGGCAATGCGGGACAGCACAGGAAACATCGTCTCGTGTTGCTAAGTGGAACACAATCAGCAGATCAAGAATAAATAACTGAAAAATACAAACCTTCCACCAGATTAGAGGATTATCTTCCTGTTCCGTCGTGCATGGATAAAGGCCACTGAGGTAAATGTCAACTTCTTTCTGAGATGCACTAGTAGGGCCAGCCTTCTGCATGTGCATCTTGACTGCTGACTTGAAAGCAGAACGTTTGACGGGCGAGACGGGGTCAACAGTAGTAGTGGGAATGATGGGGGAACTGTCCATGCCATCCTCGGAGTATACCTGGTACATATGATCGAGAAGAATTCGCATGCGAGCCGCAAGATTGGTGTTTGACCACAAGCTCTCATCCTCGAAATATGAGACTCTCATTCTCAGATGTAGAACTAGAAACAGCAATATGATTACACTTCTGATGTGAAAAAAAAAACATTGTGAAGCAGTTTGATAAGTGCTTTGATGCGCTCGTTCATCAAGATGAGTCCATCGTGTTGCTCGATGTTCGGTAGTGCAGCAAAGTGCACAGCAAAATCGTGTGTGAGAATGACACCGTGTCTTCCTCGCATGACCAGTTTTTGCCGTTCATTCTCGGAGTGCTGAAACACTCGTTCCCAGGCATGGTTGAATGAGTAAAACGGACCTTCATCTTCATCAACGCTGAAATCACGTAAGTGATGGCCAATCGGACCATCCTCGGCTACTTCTGGCAATGAACCAGGGAGTTCGGCTATAACAGAATGAAGATCAGCAAGTGATTGGGCAAGCTGTTTTTGCTGCTCGCCCAATTGCGCCATGAAGTTGTGCTGCCCTGATAACAAGAAGCGCAAAGATATTAAATTCTGCGCTGAGCGCTGACCACGGTGGAGCGTGGGAACTACTACTGCTCCAGCTGTACAGTTTTCACCTTATCCACGTCAATCTGATTGCTCCATTCAAAGTTTAAAGATTATGATTGAATACACAGGTCATACTATAATGTAATGTACTGGATTGTACGGTGTATGCAGAGCCCCTCCGCAAGCCTGTATTATAATCAAGATAATGATTAATAATAATATTATATTAAAATATAACCTGTAATGTGGACAGCACTACTTCCAAGGCCTCGTCAGGTTTGAGCACTTTTGCTGATGTTGCACTTGAGAGCACTTTGAGTGGGAACTTGCATGGCTGATGACTGACTCATATACGACATAAGCTCCGCAATGTAATACTGGATGATGTCCATCTCAGACCTTCGAATTCATGGAACATGCAATCTCACTCCACCATCCTCACTCCCACATGCTACTTTCTTACCATATGGTGACAATGCTGACGAGAATTTCCATATGGCTAAGCACGTTTGTCTTACTAGTACGGACCTTATAAGTGTTGTCTTGTCATGTCATGTGAAGAGAATGACATCATTAAATACTGAATACAGGTGAGAAGACAACCACAGTAGTACGACAACAACTCCGGGCGGCACTCGTTCGTAGGAATTAACGCAAGACCTGTTCTGCATATGATACAAAGGAAGTAGTGTCAGTAATGATTATACGTTGGAGGGCTGATAAAAGTTGAGAGGAAACTGGCCATACACTGGCATTATGTAGTGGCAGAAGTAGACTGGGGAGGTTCTGCCGTCTGGTTAATTGGCAATGCCAGCTCTTCCCCACAACAGCAACAACGAATGGCAAAATGTATACATTTTTTTTGGATCCTTGTTTTGTGCCCGTTGGGGCGGTGCCCTATGTTGGACATTACATGCGTGTAATCTACTGTATTCAAATCGTATGTTCTGTTTATTATATATTGTACTTTAGTAATGGTCCTGGCCTATGCGGGGACGGTGGAGCCTGCTGACGGCGTCCGAGGGTGATTGGCGAGGGTGGGGCCAACCTGTGAGCTTACTAGGTATTTCTTTTGGGGGTAGCGGGTGGGTTGATATCGCCGAAGGCGGTTTCGAAGCGCTTGGTCTTGGAAATGAATGTGAGGAGTTTCTTGATTGCTTTGCTGTTGTTGAGCAAACTGTTCAGGTCGCGGGCTCTGGTTTTCAACGATGCTCTCAATGCGTTGCGGTGGCGGGTGTGTATGCTAGGCATTCCAGGATGAAGTGATGGACTAATTCTTCTTTCTGTCTGCATGCTGGGCATATGGACATGGGGGATTTCGAGATTCGGTGCAGGTGCTTGTTGAGTGGGACGTGGCCCGATTTCAATTGGAATATCAGTGAGCTGTGTCTACGTAGCAGCGCGCCAATGAGATCGGCGAAGTGCTTAGATAGGGCTGAGGGGTTCATTTTGCTGAGAACGTATACGTTCGAAGGCACATCCGAATCTGCGCAACGATAAGTCCAGAAAACAATATAAAATCCAGCTGTCTTCCTACTGTCCCCTTCAGAATTACCTGATTCCACACACACGAGTCGCAAACAATGCGTTTCTCCTCTGCAACTGTCCTCGCAATCATTGCTGCTTTAGTACCATCAATCTCTGCCATGCCAGCTACTAGTGTTGCAGATAACCCTTTCAACCCTCAATGTTACAGAGCTTGCTGGTATCACACTGATTGCACTAAGCACGCAACTGAAGACTGCCCATGGGTGAGATGCGTGAGTATCAGCATTTTTCTGGACCTGATAACATGACTCACCTGCATGGCAGAGCGGTTTCTGGTACTGCATCCATGTGAGTCGTATTATTGCCTTCACGATGTCATTATGGCCGTTGACACTGACGCGCGAGTTACTGGTGATTTTTTAGTCATGATCGACGCACATAAGGGAAAAAAATCGGTCCATGCTTACAGTTCTTTGCGTATCGGAAATGGCGCGAGATTTCCGGGAAATATAGGAGATGGTGTCAGATCTGGGTCAAATTGTTATGTACGAAAAAGTCGTTTCATATGAAGTTTAGTGGACCCCAAAGTGTGCTAAGATGTGCCTCCTGTGCCCTGGCGGATAATATGAGCTTAACCAGTCGCTTGAAGATATCTAGCTCTCTTGCTGCCCAGATGAGCCACGATATAAAAATAGCAACAGCCACGCATTCACTGACAATCAATGCCAGCATGGTCATTGTTGTAGACTTGAACACGTTGTACAGCGGTGCGACTCGGATTGAGAAGTAAGTTGTCCTAGTAAGAGGAACGGTAATCGTCATTAGCCCTAGTCGGAAAGTATCCATCTCACCCACCACCACATGAGCATCGCATAGTAGGGGAGACTGTTGATCGTTGCAAGGGCTTTATCTCCCAAAAACGTATCAGTCATATTGCGCAGGAAGTCTCCCTGTGCAGACTGCTTAGCACAAGAGAGATGATTGCCAAGGCGACGACCTATTGAAAGTTTGTCCGCTGATTCACAACCATGTCTTTGGTTTTGACGGGCCAGCAGGACTGAGATGACCAAGGAGCCAGTTAGAGTCCGCTGGTGGCTGACTTTTGTAATATTATCTTCCGACTCCTGCTGAGAGTGAAGAACTCATCACCGAAAACCAGTTAACCCGGTATGACAAATGCCGTGTAAAGTCAAGTTGATATTTTAGAATTGGCCAGGCCTTTTAAAAATAATACCTAGAAATTTCCGGAATTGGTTCAAAATTGGTTGGATCAAAGCTCACAGCGACCAAATATTTGCCATTTCAAATTTCTGGACCTTGAGCTTGAACTTTCGCAGTTTAACAATCACAACTTTCGATATACACCGACTGCAAAACTCTTTAGTCACATTCTATGGATTCGAGTATCTGAGATTTCCTCCTATTCCAAGACTCCAATGATTGCTCGAGCGGCAGTGAGAAGCAAAACGTTCATCAAGCTAGTAGTAACCCTGATATCGTGCCATAAGCCATCATCGGCACCGATGTTCATTGAAGTAGAAACACAACTCACCATAGTTCACTGTCGCGACATGACACTATTCAAGTTCGACATTTGGCACACACAGAACGGAGCCGCCATATCTCCGGCAATGCTGGTTAGAGCAGCAGTTTTGGAAGGGGTTGCTGCAAGTTCCAGGGCAATGCTTTCCGGTAGGAGACTCATCACGGGTCATGAACTTGAATGTGGGAGAGGCGGATACTACTGATGCCATCAAAGCGGCAGCAACTGCGAGGACAGAGAAGATACGCATT